CTAAACTACCAATGTTAGAGGCAGTTAGCATCAATATGCTAGTAGTAGTAGTTTTACTTGTCTTTACTATCTCGAACACATTTCTGGGACAAATGTCTTGGTTATTATTATTATTATGTTGACAGCAGCATGAACCTCTAAAGCCTCAACAAGGCCTTTAAAACCACTCAAGTATGAACAGCTAGGTGGCGTTTTTGCCTTCATACTGTGGTGTTGCTGGAAACATTTCTTAAGTTGAGTAATTAGAATTGAATGAAGAATAAAATATGGCAGAGTGCATATGATTTGGTTAAAGCACATCACCATATTGCCGGAGCACTAGTTCCTACTAGTGCAACATAGTGGATTAACAATGAACACACCTTCCTCTTCAGCTGGATCAGTTTCTCTGGTCCCCTCTTCACAGGAAGACTGCCGCCAGGCTTTCCTGTCATCACACAGTAGATAACACAGTAGTAACTACCCCTTTTCACTTTCACAAAATCTTCTTTAGTCGACACCACCTTCACAGGCCTTGCATTCTACACGGTGGAGGTGTGGACGCGTAGCGAACGAGAGAATGTGCCCCCCCACGCACCTTTCAGAAGCTGTAACACTGGGGGAAACAACACTATGGATGTGGGTAGGCATGTTTTACTCACCATATCCATCACTTTCCCCTAGTCTCCACAGCTCCAAATGATCAGGGAACTGGAAGAGCAGCACACCTGCTTTCTTTGCACAACAGACCAGGCTTCTCTACAGGAACACAGGCAGAGGGAAGCCAGTCAACATGGGAGCAGCGCAGTCCTAGCTCTGTGCACGCTCTGTAGTGCGAGCGCCAACTTGAACGTACTCTTAGGTGGGTTATTCTACCAAAGAAATGAACTGAGAAGAATCAAGACGACAATGTATGATTTGCACAGTACATTCAGTAGTGATCACATCCATTCACCTTTTCCTCTCATTTCTATTACGTTTTTCATCATGTTGCAGCATTCTGCAATAATTGTTAGCGCCCCCCCAAAGACACACACAGCATGGCCAAAAGGATGTCTCCTCACACATGGCCCTTTGCCAGAGTCCTAGTGGCAGATTCTCACCTTTACCCTGTTGTAACCTACCTGTTAAAATGTTAGCTAGATTAGCAGTGCTACTGTTGTAAGCACCGTCAGCCACTTTATATAGGTAAATAGTTATACTCTGTATTGATGGTTGCACAGACTTTTTAAGTCAATATGCATTGGATGTTTTATCAACATGGAACCCCACCACTTATACAATCCCATTCAGATGTCAACATGGAATCAATCACAAAAAAGACAGGGAAAGGAGAGTTTGTACTCACATGTGGGAAAGACACTTTGCGAATGGCTGACTCCCGTGTGTTCTTCTCCACCTTGTCCAAAAGGGGGCGCACTACCAGCTGGGTGTCCATACCTAACAGGATAAAAAACATCATCTTATACGACGAGTTTCTTTCAGACTGTATACTTCATTGTCCAGTAAATGCGCTTGTGTTTAAGTCATGGCTAAAACATACAAGAATGAGTTATGTATGTGCAGTTACATGACATGAGAAGGCATATTCAACCCGCCAACGGTTTCAATGATGCTCTTGCATTAAAATAATATTGGATAATCAATACCTTTCTGTTCATCCAATTAGACAAGGAGTGACACCTGATCATTGTATGGGTCTGTCAAAAGGGACCAAAGACACCACATCTGGACGCCTCGGTTTATTCACGTTGTTGTTCCCAGAAAGTGGTCTCATAGCACGTGGTCAGAAAGGCACGTCACACAGGCTGTGATCGAATGAAAGCTGTGATCGATCACGTCTCTGGGCCAGTCAACACAACAAATTGCATTTGCGTGTGGGAAAATAATCTGAGTGAGGCCCACATATGCACACATAAAATCATACACTGGGCTGTCACAATATCAAATTTTAGTTGTGCGATTATTATTGCACCAACATTTATTGCGATATTATGGCAATTTTCTGACCATTTTATGCCACTGATAACATAATGACAATATAATAGCATAGTAATAAAAGTAAAAAGAGCGTTATCTTTGTCAGAATGGTTAGACATTACAATCGGAATGTGAAAAAATATATCTTATATGAATGAAACAAAAAAAATAATAAGTGAAAGGGACACGGAGCAGCCCGATGCAGCCGAAGCATCGGGCTTGGTGCGATGCGGTCGGGTTCGGGAAAAGGTGTCCAGCGGAAAGGCGTGCCGCGGCAGACGGGGAAGTTTAATCCGGGGCTTCGACCGCCGACAAGGCTTCTCTGCAGGAAGAGACGGAGCGGCTCGGTCCCGTTTTTCTTGTCCTTTTACCGTGCACGGCAGTTTCGCCGACCAGCGAACACAGAGCACGCGACTACTACTACCCCCGTCGGTCGTTCCGCCCGCAACGACTACTACACCCGGACCTTCTCGACCGGTCCGCAAAATATTGTCTGACATCAAAACGGTCCGTGAGGTAAAAACGGTTGGGGACCACTGCTTTACGGAGTCTCACATTTCCACATTTTCATAGCACAATACCGCCATTATTAAAACGAAGAATGTTTACGTGAGAACGGATAAGATTGAAGAGCTTTTGTCAGAAGAAATGCGGATATATGACCACTTCTACAACCCGCCAGTGGCTGACTAGAAGGACGCGCTGATGGCCTCTGATTCATGGAGGGAGATCTCCGCAAACGTCGGTTTGCCGGTCGAGGGGTGAACAAAGTTGTGGAGGAAAATACGGGACAAATGTGTCCGTGATGAAAAGCAGCAGCGGCGATGCACGAGGCAATAAAGTCTATGATAAATAAATTTAAAAAACAACGACTTCCACATTGAAACGAGTGGGTCGACACAACGGTGCGTAAAGACGCATACGCCAGCCGTAAGCTCCGCCTCCTCTTTCCACAAGGAAAAAGCACAGAGGCAGCGCAACTTAAATGTTGTTGACGTTCATTTATATGTAAAATGAATATTGCAGCACCAAAAATGATTGCACATGATTTCAGATAGTGTGCGCTATGTCATCTTATCGCATATTGCGACAGGCCTATCACACACCAACAGCAGTATTGATACTCACCTCCAGACACCACAGCAGTTTCAGTATGGGCGAGTGCCCTCACATCATGAGAGTGGTTTTTAAAGGTCCTAGTTCGGACCCAATCTTTATCCAGCCGGTCCACAGTAGAGGAGAGGAACTGAAACTGGACGACTGTGCCCTCTGACGTCCCGGCTACCAGACTGCTCTCATCCTGTTCAATATTAAACAAGTTGATGTTGGATTCTCTGGGGATGGGTACTTTAAACTGCCCTCAAGCCATTGGTCATGTAATGTTTCCTGATACCAATACTTTTGGTTGCACACTCACCTGTGAAACAGACAGAGCTAGAACGTCCCACTTGGTGATCAGGTGAGTTCTGATCAAAGTTCCGTTGAGTCCATCCCAGATCTGGACCTTTCCTGCAGAGTCACTGCTAATGATGGTGTAGTCCGAAAGGAAGGCAATGCTCCAAACCACCACCTCTTTGCTCTTTGATGCTCCGGCACCTCTGTCCACCACCAGCCTGTGTGTGGCGCGGCCTAAAGTCCACCAGATCACACCAACATTAACACAAGTTTACAGTCACATTGATTGGGATATTGTATGCAACTAATGGTTGTGAGCTCTGTGCCAATAGTTGAGGATCTAGTAAGGTCTACTTACCCGTCTCAGCATCAAAGATTCGGATCATGTCCATCATGCCCGCAGCAATCAGTGTACCAGAGGGATGCCAGGAGAGAGATATAATGCGACCTAGAAAATCACATAGAAAAACATCATAATGCACCCCCTGTCTCCCCAGACAGCTGTGTGTCAACAGGGAAAAAACATGCTTGAATAGCAGCTTAGTCATTCACCTCTTTGCCTGTCAAGGTTCCTCTGAAACTGAATCCTCTCCTTCAATACTTCAAACATCTTCACTGTCCCATCCTCACAACCCACCTGACAAGGAAAACATCGATTCAATAAATAATCAAGGGCCGAAGGCTGGATGAAGCCTCCTCGAACTCAATTCCCTCTATTTGAGCATCAACCGTAGAATAAATGGAATATCCACATTGTCAGAACTCACCGCTAACAGGGTTCCCTGGCTGTTGACACCAATGGTCCAGATGGGTCCTCCGTAGGCGTCCACTGTGTACCTGGGCCTCAGGTTCTCCAGGTCGTACTCTGTGATCTCTCCATTCAATCCAGCACTGAACAGACGTGGGCCTACCCAACACAAAGCCTCCACAGCCCTGCCGTCGTGTCCCGGGAGGACCTGTGCATCAGAACCACAGTCAGCTGTGGGGCTTATAGATGGATGTAAACTGTATTTACCCCGAGGGCCTCACACACATCTCTGGCAAAAGAATGCAAAGCTCCATGGACAAATCAAGCAGTTTACAAAAGGCCATTGAAGGAGAATGCGAGTTGATTTTAGCTTTGAGTAGGTTCGTCCTTCTGTTAAGAGGACGGCGACACGTAAGTTAGTCCTTTTACCATTCAATCAGACTGTATAGACCATAATCACAATGTGTACACAAGCAAAGTACTGTCCCTCACAGCTGACACAGTGCACATGAAGGGGTCCGTACGTCACCTTTTCTTGGAAGTAGTTGTCAGAGAAGTTGAAGATCTCCAGAGCTCCGTCAGCCCGGGCCAGCGCGAGCCGCTCCGTGCGCGTGCTGAACGCCATGGCTCTGATAGCGGAGGGCATGTAGTCGAAGAAGCGGATCCGGTGCACTTTGAATTCACCCATTTGGACTATGAAGATGAACACAAACCAGAGGCTCTGTCCGAGCCTAACAGCTATTATCGTTAACGTTAACTATTCAGACTCCAACAAGGCGATCAAACAGCGCACCGGACACGGGACAATCTGCCTTCAACGGCACACGCTGGAAAACACCAGAGGCCACGTTGAGAAACTTTGAACCGGTAATGAATCACCAAACGGGGAAAAGAAACGGAAATGCGTCATCGGAGTGCGACAACTGGCACTGCGCGGGAAATGGTTCCATGCTGCTGGTCGGAGCGCCACAGCGCCGTGCTGCCATCACGTAAAGTCTGCTGACGGGACAATGGTGCAAATATTCATACGGTAAGATATTTGCGTTTTCCTTGTGTCTAATCTTTATTACAAATGGCTTAAATTATACACAAGTCTTCATTAACACATAATAATGCACATAACTTACATTTTTCAAACATTAGAAATGCTTTACTGACATGTTATATTTTGGCACACGTGTATAGAATTTTGCTCCGAATGTTGCACCCTTTCATATAAAAACCAGTACACCAATGACGATTATCATTGGTGATGTTTGGTTTTCTCATACAATGCACCCAAAACAAATCAGGAAATATATATATATATCTTATCTATCTCTTTTTAAAAAATGGAATTATTGTCGCATAACAGGATTGAACAGTGTGAACTGAATAGGGATTTTATGTCAGTTGATGGTGAGGGGGTCTCTCTGCTCCTCAGGGGCAGTGCGGATGGCACCAGTCCTCCTGAGTGGCTCATGGTGGAACTGCAGGGAGAAATGGTTTCCAGACATGACTCTGGTCTGGCAGGCAATGTGATGGGAGACCTGCTCTACACCAAAGAGGTGACCCACTTTTCCTATTTCTAGCTTTAGGGACATTTAAATTAAACTGTTCAAACCAGACAACCACATGTGTGTTGGTCTGTGCACAGGATTTTGTTTTAGAGACGATGGTGAAGCTAATAAATTGAGGCCTGAAGTGATCTTAGAGAAGATCAAAGGTCCTTCACATTTTTGAAATGTATTCTTGCGTGAGGGAGGATGGCTTTTTTTTTTCTATAACCCCATTTTGTTTTCATGGGTTTGTGCCGCAAGTAACCAAGAACTATTTCAGTAAAAGCTAATCTGTTTATTAATTTGCGGATTAATTATTTGGTTGTATCAAATGACGGGAAATTGCAACATTCTCCTATGAGAGTCAGAATGTTATATCTCACATTTTGGTCAACCAAAAAATATCCAAAGATATTAGCAATATCATAGAAGCAAAGGGACATCCGAAATCCTAACAATAGAGAATCGTTGTTTATTTTGCCAATTAAGTTTTTTGTCGATCAAATGCTCTATAAATCAACTGTGTTTTCACTAATTAGAATAAAGTATAGTAGCTCTTTCCCAAAGGCAAACTCTTTGTACGTATCCAGGGTCTTTAGAGAATACTTACGAAGAGCAAGTCGTCAGTCCAAGAATACCTGCATTTCTCCGGTTAAAGGCGTTGTGGCTCAGCCACTAGTGTACAACCGGGCCTCCTCACGGCTCTGAACACTGAGATGTGTGATAGGCCACTACCGCCCAACAATGCTAATAGATCAAACAGAGCTCATGACAGATCTAACTGTAGGGCCAAGTTGAGACCAGCTGCGGCTGGACTCAACGCTGAGGTCTGGGATATATGCATTTAAGTTACTACATATATGCAAACTTATTGCGCTTAGATTCAAATGTTTTTCTCTACCAGGACCTGTACACTGTGCTGTTTCCCCCCTACTTTGTGTGATGTAACTTATGAAACTCCAAATGTTTTCATATTTTCTGTAAATGGGACTTTTTCTTTTATAATGTAGTTATTATTTTTTACTCCTTTTTGTCTTTACTCTGCTTTCTTATGCCCCATCTCAAAATAATAAATGCTTGAGCTGAAATTTAAACTATTACTCAATTGATAAATCCTTTTTTTGGGGACTTTTTGGAGACAAAAAAAAAAAACAGGTGACCGACACTGATTCTAATTTCTAATTGGGATGATTTACTGCAGTTCTTTTTGTCATGTAATATAATAATAAATTAATATCTTTGTTTTGGGCAGTTGATCTGCCAAAACAAGCTAATTGTAAGCATCACCCTAGGCTCTACTAACCTTGACAAGACTGAAGTTATTTTCCTTTCAGAGAAAGTCTCACTAACAACCCAACTCCACCCTGACTGCTAGGAACCTCGGTGTAACACCCACAGTTCCTGTATATAGATGCTGCACAACATCAGGAGAAGGCGCCACAGGCTCTGGTGATCTCACACTGTGGCTACTGTAACACTCTCCTAGCAGGTCTACCTGATAGTGCCGTTCAACCTCTGCAACTCATCCAGAATGCAGCAGCTCGACTGGTTTTAACCTGAATTCACCCACACTCCTCCGCTCCCTTCACTGGTTACTAGTGGCTGCCCGCATCCGGTTCAGAACATTGGTATTTTAGCACTGCGGTGCCAACGGATCAGGTCCTGTCTGCATCCAGAACATGGTCAAATTTTGGGTTCATGCACGCTTACTCTGTACCGGTCAATCTTGTCTTGCTTGTTGCTCCCTCACAGAAAACTAAACACTCAACATCCCGACTGTTTGCTGTTTGCTTCTAAATGGTGGAATGAGGACAGCAGACAGCTTCTGACGCAAACTGACAGTCACACCTCTGCAGACTATACCTGGACCAGTACTTTATTAGCACTTACAATGGCACTTACTTTATAGCACTTTGTAGTTTGGCTTTCTTGAAGAATTTGAACTTTCTTGTTCTGGTTCTGTTCCTTCTTGATTTGAAGGCACTTATTGTAAGTCCCTTTGGATAAAAGCTTCAGCTAAACAGAAAATGAACTTAATGAATTAAAATGTACACATTTTTGCCAATTTCATGGATCAGGAAAATAACCAACAGACTAATAGACGATGCAAATAGTTGGATTTAGTCCTACATGTAGCTTTTTTGCCAACTGTTGTTTTCAAGGCTCAATATGTATGTTTATTTACCTCTAAAGTCCGTAGAACTTGTCTGTCCTCATCATCTGTTTCTTTCTTCTTCCTGCAGGGGACGCCAGTGCTTATAGTTGGACATCATATTCTCTATGGAAAGCAGCTCAAACTGGAGAAACCCTTTGCCATCCTCACCAAGCATTCCGGCCATTTGCAGGATACCCTGGGCAGCCATGACAACGACAATAGCAGCAGGGATGTCACACACGTAGCTATGGAAACAAACCAGCAGGGACCCACCTCCACCTCCTACACTGTGTCCGCCCTCATCACACGGAAGCTGATCTTTAAGACACGCCCGAAACCCATCATCACCAATGTACCCAAGAAGGTGTAGCTTGACAGGGTTTCCTCACTGGGTCAGACCAACTGATCGCTCTCCCCTGCTGGAAGTTTACTTCAGCTAGTGTTACCCTTCGTTTGGAGTATCAGATATTTGTTTTACAAATGGTAAATACATCTTACTGATCGTTACTGCCAAACTTTGGCCTGAACTGATTCCCAGAGGGACTTTGAGATTTGTATAAAAAGCTTAAAATCCCATGACAGTCTAATTGCTCTTTTAACACTTATATTTTCTATAAAAATTTCTTTAAAAATAATGAAGGGTTTTTTATTCACAAATGAAATCACCAGCTGCAGATGTAGATGTAGTCTTATTGACACTGTGTGTTGCTCCATTTCTGATGCAAAACCTGATATTGTCACATGACTATAATCCTCAGATTGAGTAAAAAAAATGCACAAATATTTATAGCTGTCAATTGCTTTACTCATTTTTTAAACAATGACAACCAGGACTAGCAGTGGACCAGAACTCCAGTAGAAATTGACTGCTAAATCCCCACATTTATACTTAGTCAAAAAGGGTATCCCGTTTTGCACTTAATAAAGTTGAAAGACCAATTCATTAGTTCCACACCATCCAAAAGACACCTGTGTCTCTTCAAATCCACGGCTCCTGTTTGTAATGCAAGAGAATATACAAGACCGTTGCAATATGGCATTCTTTTCTTTGCTAATGTTTAATTGTTGAGCAATATCAAAGTGTGAAATTCAATGACTGATCCATGTTAACCTTAAGAAAATAAAGTTTATTGAAGTGAGTTCATCCTAGAGAAGTACAACAGTGATTTTCATACAGCAATTCCCTTCACTGTTTTTGCTGAATGGGTGAACTAGTTAGAAGTAGGCTGCAGTGCGGATCCCTCCCTCTGGTTCTTTATGAGAATTGGAACAATGATGACTTACTGACTGTTAATGGGATTATATGATAATGCCAATGCTGTCCATCTCAACCCACCATTTACACTGAATGAATGTCAAGTTCTGCATTAAAGAATTTAATTCAACCAGAACTTTAGCTCCCTTCAGAATACGCCCCAAAACATTGGTACACAGATTTGGCCATATGGTCACAGTGAATGTAATGCTATACATTAATAATAAAAGTGAGATGGAACATGGATCAATTTGGTAACAAACATTCAATTTGTACAACATTTGACATGTTGCCAGAATATTTTGTTTGTGCGTGCGTGGGTGCGCACTTGATTTTTTTTGTGGCGATACGTGGTTAGACGTGGGGATGAGTCTTCACTGGCCACCGGTGGCTGCCCGCATCCAGTTCAAAACATTGGTGCTCACGTACCGTGCTGTGAATGGATCGGGTCCAGCTTACATCCAGGACATGGTCAAACCCTACATCCCGACCTGCACTCTCCGCTCTGCATCCGCAAAAACGGCTCGTTCCTCCCTCACGGAGAGCAAAACACTCAACTAGATCACAACTCTTTGCTGTCCTTGCTCCGAAATGGTGGAACGAGCTCTCTGATGACACCAGGACCGCAGAGAGCCTTCACATATTCTGCCGCAAAACTAAAGACACACCTCTTCAGACTCCTCGACTAAAAGACTAAAAAATTGTAGCGCTTAAATTGTACTTATAATGCCACTTATCTATAGCAAATTATAAATTAGATTATTTGATGAAATTGAAATTTATTGTTTATTGCTCTTCTGAGTTTGTATCCTTAAATGGTAAATGGACTTGTATAGCGCTTTTCTACAAGCGCTTTAACACTACATGACATCATTCACACACTAATGACAGGAGAACCATACACAGTGACACCTGCCATCAGTAACTAACATTCACACGCTGTAGTCACAGCTACAGGAGCAATGTTGGGTTAAGTGTCTTTCCCAAGGACACAACGACATGCGGGTTAGCCGAGCCTGGGATCGAACCGACAACCCTCTGATTGGAGGACGACCGTGCTCCCCACTCACCCACAGAGCATTCAACAGTTATGGTTGAATGCACTTATTGTAAGTTGCTTTGGATAAAAGCATCAGCTAAATGACATGTAATGTGATACATGGTTAGACATGGGGATAAGTGGTGATACGTGACAATAAGGGGGACTAAGTGGTGATAAGTAGTGGTGCATGGGTATACAGGTGGACAAGTGGTAATACATGGTTATGGTGATAAGTGTGGACAAGTAGGACTACCTCTTGATAAGTGGTAATGATAGGAAGTGCTAAGTGGTAATACATGGTAATACATGGGGATAAGTGGTGATAAGCAGTGCTACATGGTTATAAGTGGTGCTACGTGGTGATACAAGTGGAAGCCTTGATGCATGTCTTGTGTGTCATTTGGAGTCTAAGATCCGGAACGTCAACATTTTTTCTGCCAGTAAAGAGTGGTAGCATTACATTAATGGATTGTTTTCAACAAACAGTACAAAATCAGGAAACGTGACAAGCTATATCTGGGAAATAAGTTACCATGGTCCTTTATTTTATCTTCTCTATTTTCCTAACACCAATGTATCAATCTCAGGCTTGCGAACAAATACATTTCTGGTGTCCGTTTTTTATGTACAAAAAGTAAATTAACATACAGGTAATCAGAAATGTATGCTTTATCCTGGGGATCGCAGTAAAAGAACAAAAATGGGACTATTAATATTGTAATGATGTAATGATACAGCAAGTCATATTATAATCCAGCCAATTGTTTCCAATAAATAGTGTTTGAAACTTCTTTGGCTTCACACAGTTGATGAATGAATTAACAAAGGCTTAGTCTACTGTATAAACAGACACAAATGTTCAGTTAATTGAATAGTATCCTGTGGCAAACTATACGGCCACAAAATTTGGCACCTTTACAGTATACCATATACAAAATCTCTGAATCACTAAATGAAACCACGGACAACTGGTGACTTAAACTGAAAAATTGACCACAATGTACATCAATAAGTCACATGTTTGATACTGCACCAAAAGACCCCCCCCCTCCAAATAAAGCAATAACCTGGGCCCAGTTCCTCGTACGTGGCTATCTGAGTTAGCCGGATAATTAATTTTCAGGATGGGATGACGTAGATCAGGCTTTTCGGTTCCCCGAAGCAGGTTTGTCTAAATCACCATAGCAACACATTGAAGAACTTGAACCTGCTCCGCCGCAGGTTCATTCGAGCTGCTGGATTAGTTCATCACTCCCCGGAATCAAAGGGCAGCTCACTTCCTCGTTGATGAAGGAGCGATATCAGTTAGATTAACGTTTTATAGAGAGAGACTTCTCCGAGGTCACAAAGACCTGTTATGACATTACGATGACCTCCTGTACGAGCGCTATAGATGCTGAAAATAGGAATTATTTATTTTACAAGATTTTCCCAAGCCGAAAACGTTACGTGATGAACACCACACGCTGCAGCCGAGCATCCACTGTCCCGCAGACTGTCTCACATACAGTCCCATGGACTGTCTCTCATACTCTATCACACACTGTCTCACTCTCTCATGTTTGACACACTGTCTTTCATACTGTCCATGTCTGTACAGTGTTGCGATGCAGAGAACATCTGGAAAGCCGCTGCATGTCGTGCTCATCGTAAAGTTCTGTTGGTTTATTTGTCATTTAATAAACTTCTGGATGTTCCACATTTCACAGCTTCAATTGATCAAATGTCTGATTATGAACAATGGATATATAATGATTCTCACATACACATTCACACACATATAATAAAACTCCTAGTTCTATATGGTCATCTACACATACATAAGCTGATACAGTACACATATCCTATTCATTCATATCAATAAGATTCTATGGGCTTGTTTTTATCTACATATTCTGAAAGGGTTGACATCATTATTCTCATTGGATGATGATGCATCTGAGTACAACCGTTACACATCCATGAAGCCTCCTGCAAGCAGACACATTTAAAGAAATATAATATGATTGATTAGAGGGACGAGGCACTTGAAATGAGCCTATACCAACACGCATAACGTTAACTTGTGTGCGATACTTTGTTGGGCTTGTAGCCTCACAGGGGGGCGCTGTCAGTTTTTGCCATGATTATAAGATTTATTTAATGTTATTTTGTATAGCATAATATCGCAAATTTGCCTCAGAGGTCTTTACAGTCTGTACACATGTGACATCCTCTGTCCAGAAACCCTCACATCGGCACAGGAAAAACTCCCCAAACAATGAAAAAGTATTTGATGGAGAGAATAAAGGGAAGAAACCTTTAGAGACACAGGCTGATCCTCCCTGGGACGGACAGACTGCGATGGACGTACAGAATGAACAACGTAAAATATGTATAATACGCTCAATTCATCTAAATTAACATATTATCTCATCATATGTGTTCATGATCATTTCCTATCAAAAAAGACGGTCTTCCTTTACGTGTACTTGCCGTTATACTGTTAAAAATCCTGGTTTCGGTGATTGACTCTTCGGCCTTCTAACGTAAGACGCGCACCCGCGATTATCCTGATGACTGACCTCTGGTTCAAACTAACAAGATAGTTTGAGCGCCGATCTGCCTTGGAGGAACCGAGATAGCCTGATGTCAATCATCTCGGTAATCTGAGCTGGATAATCGGACATTTGATCAACTTAGTTGAACCACGTACGAGGAACAGGGCCCTGGTGTCAAATGTTTGGAAATGCTACTCGTTAAATCATAGCTGCTCCACATATTACAGCAGCAGATTATTGTGCTGTTCATGAGTATGAGAGTAAGTGAGGTCTGGTCTAAACAGTCAGCCACTGAAGACATCCACTCTATTACATCCACCTGTGGCTTTAGGTCACTGTAATCATTTGCCTGTCAACACTGGCTGCGTAGCAATACAGAGCGTGCATGGGGGATTAAACATCTCCTAGCTGTTGCTCTAAACATCGGAAGAAATCTCATAGTGGAAACAACCGTCAATCTGCTGAAGCCTCCTATTCATGTGTTGGTTAGGAATCAGTGGAGATAATGGCAGTATTTGGGAATTAGAAAACCATTGGTTTACACTTGAGACCATCTGAAAGTTTGAACTGCAAAATGATTTTTAAAATGTGCTACTTGTATTGTGGCTGTTTTGGGGATCTTCTGCCTTCGTCTTCCAGCCTACAACTCATATTTCCTCAGTGTGGTGTGTTTATTTATTTGTTATATTTGATACTTCTGTATGGAGTAGCAGTTTGTCACGGTTAGCTACCTCCAAGTGATACACAACAGAATATAATATGCTGTTAATCCTCACCCTATTGGGGTAGCCATGTTCTCCTTTTCTGTCTGGAATGTGTTGTAAAATCAATAAAAATATTTATAGAAAATTTGCTAATTGTAACTGCCTTAGTATTCATTATTGAAACTGCATACAATCCCTCTGGGGACTATCTTGGTATGAAATCTCGTTACTGAAAAATGAAGCAAACTCAGAGGGTGCCATATTTGCAGTTAGTCAAGTGGCAACTTGAGGCCGTCCTCAAAGAGGAGTAAATCCCCATAGACCTCCATGTTAAAATGACAAGGAGGAATAAAGCGGTTTACAGCGTTGTACAAATGTACTAATCACTAACATCATTGTTTATGAAAACTGTCCATATTTTGTTTTATATAACTAAACTTAACGTTTTAATTGGTGTGTGACTTCCAGGTCACAACCTGCTTGTTGATATTTGATAAAGTCTGTGGTTCTTTTGGTGACAAAAATGCGGCTCCCACATTTTCAGTATGTTCCTACCGGGATTGCAGCAGTATAACGGCACACATAAAGTTGGAGAGTATGCAAACAGGTATTGGTGAATTTGGAGGCGTTTCCGAGGCATGCTGGGCTAAGTAACAAACCTAATGTAACACACTTATTCTTCTGCTCAGTATAGGATTTGAAAAGGTAAATCCCTGAAGAGATATTACTTCACGAGCATTAGGAGATTATAGCAACCAACTCTTTGAAAGATGCCCATATGGCATACTGTATGTATTTGCCAAAAATAGACATGTGAAAATCCTAACCGAATTTTCACTTAAATGTCTCCGCTAAAACTTGAAAATGGTCTATGTTTATTTTTAAACAGCATTAAAAGAGATGACTGTTTTGAAATGGGGTTCTATAAGGGTCAACATTCTGTTGATGGCTGTCAGCTCGCCCCTAGTTTAGAGAAACGGCCAAGAATATTCACGAGCAAAGTAATATCTGGCTGTGATATTTAACTGTAGGGTAAGACACTAACAATGGATTAATACCTCATATAACCCCACTTAAAAACACCTTTTATACACACTGAGCTTAACTAAGAACTCAACATGCAAGTTGTTTCTCTTTTTCTCTTACTCCTGGGTATTCTCTAACTTCGTATTTTTATAAAGAGTGGAGATGAATGCACAGTACTACATTTAAGATGAAACATTTCTACGATGTATTTTGTGCCGCCTGGAGCAAATTAGCTTGTATCATGCTCAGTCATTACTTTCAATTGACACACTTGCCCTCTTCTTTTCTGGTGTAGAGGTGCTTTGACTTGGAAAATTACCTTGCAATCTATAGTCTATATAGATGTTTAGATGTGTCACATTTGACCACATCTCGTCTCTATCAAAATGATGGACACAAAAAGTCTCAGGGTGTTCCTTTACCTACTTTATATTTATTGAAAGCACAGCACTGTACCGTTGTGCATTTTGTCACCGTTCATCACTGAGTCTCCCCCAACTGGAATGGATTCCAGATGCTCAGATTTCAGATTTACATCTTTTCAACATCCATGATGAAGATGTGATTGTGTTTGTGATTCACAGTTCATCAGTGCATTGGTACAGCCCCACTGCACTGAAACCCGGTGTGAATGTCCTACCTGGTAGCAGGTTTATGCTTCTGCATATGGCAGGTGATACTGTTCTTCCCGCTTGTTACACCGTTTGGCTACGATTGCCAGGTAAAGAACCAGCAGAATTAGCCAGTAGCAGGCATAGAGTATTGTCCCTGCTATCAACAAGGCTTTCTCTCTCTCACTAAATGGCTCCTGTGTTTCACAGTAGATTGTATATGCCACCCCCCCGAAGAGCACCATAGCCCAGACTGTGACAGGTACAGCGCCTATGAAGTTTACCACGATCTTCCTGCGGCCTGAAGTGCCCCATCCAGCCTTGTTGATGGTGAGCAGGGCAAATATTTTGGCGGGGAGCAGGCTGGACATGTAAAGCAGAGAGTACAGGGACATGAAGATCATCACCAGGCTGCCACGCAGGAAACAGGCATAGGTGGCCTTCACCATCCCGACCAGTTGGACTGTTAATAAGAAAAGCAGGATGTTCCAAAGCCTTCCACGGTAGAAGAGATGGATGACGGTGGCAACCAAGAAGAAAGGGAAGAAGCCTGTGACCACGGACTCATAGGTCATCCAGAGGCTGTGCTTGTGGAACCACAGGGCGTTATACAGCCACTCGCGGAAATAAGACTTGCTCCATCGAGTCTGCTGGTTGAGCCAACGCAGATACTGGGTGGGTGTCTCAGTCTGGCAATGCGATCGTGCTGTGAATTTAGTCTTGTAGCCAAAGCTGAGCACCCGATTGGTGAGGTGGCGGTCATCACCGAAGCTGCACTTGGAGCCCAGGAAGGTCTGGTGATACCAGGGTTCCAGGAAGCGCTGGAGCAAAGAGTTCCTATACATCCCCAGAGGGCCGCTGATACACTGGACACACCCAAAGTAGGACTGGCAGGCCCGCTCGATGTTGAAGGCCATCCAGTAGCGTACGCTACTTAGGAAGGAGATCCAGGAGTCATATTTATTAAGAATCTGGAGGATAGGAAATGCAGAGAACATAGATCAACAATGGAGAAAAAGAAAAATGTACTGTCATGACAGTGATGAAGTGAGCTTACAAACACCTCGCTTGGCGACGAAAGATTTTTTAAGTTGACTTTCAAATAAAACATGTATAGTCCTCATCGTTGTGTTGTATTTTACCTGCACGTCTCCGCCAACCCCTCCCACCATAGGATCTTCCTCAAGGATCTTCAGCATTTCTATGGTGCATGCTGGGTCTAGAACAGTGTCTGAGTCACACACCTCAAAAAAGGACATAACAAGCACAGGTTTTCAATAACATACACATATACTTTCATTGGACAAGTTAAGGCTGCCAGTGTTGCATAACAGAGGGAAATTCATTAGAGAAAAGAGAAGCTGCTGACAGATCCCAGCACGTTCATTCTAACTAGACTGAACTTGGTCAGCTGTTGAAATGACCGTTGACCCACAGGAAGGGCAAAATAGTGCATGGACAGATCCCCAAATCACTTGCAATGTGGAGTGTATGAGTATAAATTGTCCTCTACTGATGGCTTTGTAATGTGATTATTGTTGTACACTGCTACATACAATTGGTTATCAATTTTAGGGCTTGCTGCCAAATTATACAGCTAACTAATACAGTAAAAAACTTTCTGGAACATGGAAAAAGTCAATGCTGCAGTACAATTGTAAAGGACAGACTTTTCAGCTGTTACAAACACAACAACAAAAAAAACACCAATGACATTAAGATGACACGCTTGTATGATGAATATTCTGTTCCAATCTGATCAAAACATTGAGCAGAGAAATGTGTTGATTCCTTCTTTATGCACTGACTCAGGTCTTGCAGTGGCATAAAGAGTTCTTTCAGTCTTTCAGGTTTTCATGTAGCCATTTGGAATCGGGAAACCCTTGAATATAATAATGATGTAAAGTGGCCGTCTAAACTTTATTTAAAACTTCAAAACATGCATACTATTTTCAGTGTACCTTACCTGCAAATAATCCACACTGTCCCCAAGTGCTTTAAAGGCAGTGTACATGACCTCTCTTTTCCCTCCCCACTCCTGCATGATACAGGAGTAGCGGCAGCCTCTGACCAGCCGAGCCACTCGTGCTGCCTCCTCCATGTGCACTGTGCTCCTCCCGCCACCTCCGACTCCTCCACCTCCACTCCCATCACTGTGGTAGTTTCCCTTCCACACCATCCTGCCAGCCTGGTCAGCCCCGCCCATCACCTCGAGGAAAATGTCATTCATGTAGCTGTCCTCTGGCCGGTTCCCATCCACTACCAGCACCACCTTCAGACCAGGGAAGGAGATTCGGCGGACGCTGCGAAGGCATTTCCTCAGGTAGTCTGGGTCCTCCTGGTAAGCAGCAATGCAGAGAGCCACGGACCTTCGGAGGTGCTGTGGCTGGGAGGGGCTCCTCATCCGCCGATGCTCCAGGAAGGCAAAGAGGCTCTGGAGGAGGAGATGGAGGGAAAGGAAGGCCCCATAGAGGCCAAAAGAGAGATGGTGCTGCTCAGTGTGGATGAACTGGTAGCCTTTATAAGGAAGAAAGCCAGTGGAGACAAACCAAAAACACATCACTTGTTATAATCACCATCATGGCCATCACTTGTTTTAATTATCATTTACATGTTTCTCTATCTGTAGAATTTTAAACGTAACCTGTAACATAGGCAAGCAGGATGGTAAAGAGAACCACCGCGGCAAAAAGGGTGGTGACCACGATGTTCAGCGCATTCCTGCAGCGAGAGGGCATCTGAAGGTGGAGAATGTGGGGTATGAGAAGGAGAACACAAATGAGAAGGAGGCAAAAGGTTTGTGGTATAGAAAGGGTGATATACTAAGGTGAATGAAAAGGCATTGTAGGCAGGAAAAGAGAAAATTTAAACTGCAAGTGAGCAAACTGCCTTTGAATAGACTTAACAGCAGTTGCAACCAAATGGGCTACTTACACGCGTGAGGAACTTGAGCATGTTATTCAATACGTGAAAGGGTAAATATCAACACAGGTCTGTTGTACAAGTCGGGTGAGACCATCTAAAATGTCCCGTTTCTTCTGGGAAACCTTTTTATTGACCAATGTCCGCTAAAAAGAGGAGCAATGCGGTTTTCGTCCTGGTTGTGGAACAACGGACCAGCTCTTCACTCTTTCTAGGATCATAGAGGGGGCTTGGGAGTATGCTCATCCAGTCTACATGTGTTTTGTGGACTTGGAGAAGGCGTATGACCGGGTCCCCCGAGAGATACTGTGGGAGGTGCTGCGGGAGTACAGGGTGAGGGGGTCCTTGCTTGGGGCCATCCAATCCTTGTACGCCCAAAGCGAGAGCTGTGTTCGGGTGCTCGGCAGTAAGTCAAAGGCGTTTCTGGTGGGGGTTGGCCTTCGCCAGGGCTGCGCCTTGTCACCAATCTTGTTTGTGGTTTTCATGGACAGGATATCGAGGCGTAGTCGGGGGGAGCAGGGTCTACAGTTCGGGGGGCTGCGGATCTCATCGCCGCTTTTTGCAGATGATGTGGTCCTGATGGCATCTTCCGTCTGTGACCTCCAACTCTCACTGGAGCGTTTCGCAGTCAAGTGTGAAGCGGTCGGGATGAGGATTAGCACCTCTAAATCTGAGGCCATGGTTCTCAGCAGGAAACCGATGGATTGCCTACTCCAGGTAGGGAATGTGTCCTTACCCCAAGTGAAGGAGTTCAAGTACCTCGGGGTCTTGTTCACGGGTGAGGGGAAGATGGAGTGTGAGTTTGGCCGGAGAATCGGAGCAGAGGGGGTGGGTTTTGCACTCGCTTTACCGCACCGTTGTGACGAAAAGAGAGCTGAGCCGGAAGGCAAAGCTCTCGATCTACCGGTCAATCTTCGTTCCTACCCTCACCTATGGTCATGAAAGATGGGTCATGACCGAAAGAACTAGGTCACGGGTACAAGCGGCCGAAATGGGTTTCCTCAGGAGAGTGGCTGGCGCCTCCCTTAGGGATAGGGTGAGAAGCTCAGCCATTCGCGAGGAGCTCGGAGTAGAGCCGCTGCTCCTTTGCGTCGAAAGGAGACAGTTGAGGTGGTTTGGGCATCTGGTGAGGATGCCCCCTGGGCGCCTCCCTAGGGAGTAGTTTCAGGCACGGCCAGCTGGGAAGAGGCCCCGGGGAAGACCCAGGACTAGGTGGAGAGATTATATCTCTGCACTGGCCTGGGAACGCCTTGGGATCCCCCAGTCAGAGCTGGTAGATGTGGCCCGGGAAAGGAAAGTTTGGGGTCCCCTGCTGGAGCTGTTGCCCCCGCGACCCGACCCCGGATAAACGGTTGAAGATGGATGGATGGATGGATGTCCGCTAAAAGGTACCAGCATCAGACATTGACATGGTCACATGATGCCTTATTCATCCGTCTGTCACAATGCAAGATAGCAATGCCTCTTTTGTGGAACCAGGTTCCACTTTCAGTCCGGGGGGCAGATTCGGTTAGCTCTTTTAAAGTAAAACTTAAAACGTTCCTCTTTGATTCTGCCTATAGTTAGGGCTGGCTCAGGTTAGTCCGGACCAGCCCTTAGTTAAGCTGCTATAGGCTTAGAATGCCGGGGGAATTCTTAGGACACACCGAGCTCCTCTCTCACTCTCTCTTTCTACCATAATTCAAGTTTTATTAATGCACATGACTAATTCAGCTTCTTTCCGGGAGTTTTTTTTTGTGCTTTCGCCCCTATCAGGTCTCCATAGATCGTGGTTCCTTCGGGACCCTGGTCCTGACACCTACTGTGGCCATGCTGACGCCTGCTGCTGCCATCATCATCATCATCATCATTATTTTAGATATTAATCATATTACTTTACTCATAAACCGACATTACCCTCTCCTAAAATCTCTGTGCTCTCCCTCCCCACAGGATTCTGTGGATGGTGGTTCTATCTGATGGTGGTTGCCTCTGCAGTGGTCCTGCTGTGCGCCTGGCTTACTACTCACAATTACTTGAATCATTTCTGTCATAGGAATTGCATGTATTATACATCGTTCATTCTGTACACATGGCATCCATTGTAGTCTGTCCATCCCGGGAGTGGGATCCCTCCTCTGACGTTCTCCCTAAGGTTTCTTCCCTTTTTTCCCTCTTGTAAGGGTTTTTTCATTTTTTGGGGAGTTTTTCCTGTGCCGATGGTGGGTTTCGGGGCAGAGGATGTCGTATGTGTACAGACTGTAAAGCCCTCTGAGGCAAATTTGTAATTTGCGATTCTGGGCTATACAAAATAAAATGACTTGACTTGACTTGACAATGCATTTGTGGGTGTGTGTGGTCCAAAATGGGTATTGGTAACTAATTACTAATATACACAAAAGACAGAGTAAGTAACTCGTTAGTGATATAATCCCTTGCAGAAATAATCGCTCATCAAGTCATTTGTAGACAGCTTGTCAGTTATTTTAAAAAAGGCTCTCTAACCATACCTGATGTTAACATATGTAAACACAGAGTAACAAAATAACTGTCAGGGATGCAGGGAGGAGGCAGGACTCAAACGCAGATCGGTCTCCGATCGACCACGAGAAGGCCTCCTTCTCTGGAGGCAGCGTGGTGGGCGGCGGATGACGAGAGCGGCGACCCAAGCGCCTTCTGGGGACTCTGGGAGAGCCCACTGCGTCTGCCAGGAAGCCTGCTGGCGAAAGAGGGCAGGCGTTCTCTCTGCCACTGGCAGCTAGCTGAAGGCTACGTGGCCCGCCAAGAGCAAGACGGGTACCGCAGAACTGGCTCTGGGGAAAAAAACTCTGCTGAGTCCTTTCTGGGTTGCGTCATTCTGTCAGGGGTTGCGTGGGAGGAGGCCAGACTCAAACGCAGACTTTTTAGAAAATAAAATACTTTAATTGTCAAAAAGGCAAAAGCAAAAGGCCAACAGGCAAAAACGCACACGAACCAGGGGGAAAACGGCAGACCGGAACTACGAACATCCACGACGAAAGACAATGACGCGACAAGTGACACAAGAGACACAAGAGACACACTGCTTAAATACACTAGGGAGGTGCAGGTGATTGGACACAGGTCAGACAATCACAGACGATGACAGGACAAGGCAGGAAGTGAAGTTACCCAGGGAGACAAGAAGCAGAAAACTACAAAATAAGACAGGAAATAAAACCACACCATGACAATAACCACAACAGTCTATTGAACAGAACACTTAGTTTACGCACACAAGTAAAGGTATCTATTTGATTATGATTAGCTACGGTCAAACTTAACATCAGTAACAGATATATAGTGATTTATAGGTTAGAAGCTAGGTACTGAATTTTAAAGTAATGCCCTATTATATTTTCATACTGGAATTACTCTCAATTATCAATCATGCCTTGGGTGTAAAAGACTTGGTTTTTCAGTTCAGCTGTATTTGCTGTAAAACACCATTAAAAAAACAAAAAACACACCAACAATTAACCTCACTGTGTAAGGACAACACAGAGGTAAAAAACTTGAAATTTCCTGTAAGTACTATTACTATTTCTTATTATTATTGGTAACATTTTACCCAAAGAATTACATCTCCTCCCAAACCTCCAGCTCAGACCATTTCCCTAACTTCACATAATGTTCCCCTCTGCCACTCCTTTCTTCCCGGTCCCTGGGTTAATAGTTCTAATTAAAGGCTAGCCTGGGTTGGGCCAGTGCTTGGGAACAGTTCTCCCTTTTCATTCATGAAATTACCTCCTGGCCCCCCTCACCCTCCACCCCCAACCCACCTGGCCAGGCCAAGGCAAGAGAGAATGACTGTTATTTATATCTCAGTCAGCTCTCTAGGACACACTGGCACAGACAGATTTATCCATCTCTCTGAGTGGGTGTATAGATGTACATCCTGGCACTCTAGAGACCCTCTATCTGACATCTAGGTTCTGACAAAAGGGGAGTTTTGGAAATAGAGGTTTTGGAAAACATACAAAGGATTTTCATCATCACCGTCATTTAGAGGTTCTTTCCCCTAACAGCACAATTTCTCTAAAATCTGTTCTCTCCTTTTCTGTTCTCTCTTGTCTTTCTTATTGCGGCACTCTTGACTGTTTGGGTTTGTCAAAATGTTGAAAAATCCACCCAATGACTAAAAGACTAACAAATTGTAGCACTTAAATTGTTCTTATAATGGCACTTATCTGTTACTGTACTGTTAATTTATAATGCACACATTTCATTTAAGTCTTTCTTTTACAACCTGCTCAGTTTTGCACTTTTCCTCCTTACCTCATTTCTGCCTTATCCTTACCTCATTTTTCTTTTTCTTTCATGTACATTTATGTAAATATTGTATTTTCATTTTTATTTTGAATTGGTCGGCTTTCCAGAAAAGGCAAGCACGAGAATTTCAATACACAGGGCGTGTGTAACTGACAATAAAAATCTTTGAATCTTGAATCTTTGAATCTATAGCAAATTGTAAATTGGCTTATTTGAGGAAATTGTACTTTCTTGTTCTTCTGAGTTTGTATCCCTATGGTTGAATGCACTTATTGTAAGTCGCTTTGGATAAAAGCGTCAGCTAAATGACATGTGATGTAATGTAATGTAATAATTGAATGGGGTTACAAAGTTACAGGGTACATTTATTATCATTGTACAAAAGGGTTTGGCAATTAATCACAGTCACATTTAGCTATAAAAGGAGAAAAAATAAGTATAAGTTACTGTAGTTTATGTTGAGGGTTGAGAATTACGGTGTCTTACAGCTTAAGGACAAAAGCTGCAGGAGGGAGGTGTTTTCTGTCTTTCTTTTCAGATGAGAATGAGGTGGGCAGGCTGTGGCTGAGGTAGCTATTGTCATTTAATATTCTTCCAACTCCCACTTTTAAACCTCAGATTTTGGACCTCTGCATTTCTAAAATGCTGCATTGTGGTGATGACTCGAGAACCAGTTTCTCAAAGCACTTTATTCCAATAGGTGTGAGTGCTATGATGCACTTGTCATTTAGACTGGACACTGCCGCTGATGGCAGCAGAAGAAGCGGAGGCAGCGTGGTCTTAACGTCCTGGGGCTACAGGCCAGTTGAAAAGCAGACAGTAACATGGACTGTTTAATGACAAGGGCCTTAGTTACCAGAGGGGCATGTTGGAAGGCGGGGGAGCTGGGATTAGCCTGCTGGCTATGTGGGGGAGGGAGGCAGTTACAATTAAAATACGTTTATATCAGCCTGAGCATGGTTGCTGCAGCTACTTGTTTTTTATATTTAAATATTACTAAGCCTACGTTATTTGCAGAAATGTATCAACCATGTTTCTGTCGAATGAAACTGAGCTAAATTGATTTATTATTAATAAGATGATTTCTTCCGAAAATCTCATAAACATAAAAAACATAAACATACATTATATCAATATGAGTGTGGAGGGTTATACCCAGGGATCATTGCTGCCTTACGACAGCTAAACAAAGGCTCATCATCTCAACACTGAATTGGTGATCACAGTGAACAGGTTTTTGGACATAACTCAATAATTCATATTCAAGTCTAATTTCATAAAATGAGAAAAACTTTCACTAATTGTTCTTCATTGTTACTTGGAAAGAATAAGTTGTTTGATGAAATATGCATTATTTTGAGTCTTTTTTTAAAATTTTATTAGCGTCACTATATCAGCTTCTACCATGAATATTTGTGCTTTCTCGCATCACAGGTTTCATAGATTGAGGTTAATCTGGTCCCTGGTCATGCCTCCTGACATGGTGGTCACATCTGATGGTGGTTATATCTGATGGGGGTTACATCTTATACCACAATGTTTACCATTTGGTTCTAAACTTTTCTTTCCTAAAAATTTTCAAATGTCACCGGGCTACCAAACAGAGGAGCATCTGCACTTTGTTGTTTGCAGCATAGTTTTACGGTTCGCCATGTGAGGAAACTACCGTCTAGTATCAGCTCACCTCCCTTGGAACCATGACAACGGCGGTACCAAAAAAGGTACAACTTTTGCTGATGAAGATGATAGCCTGATCTCATCCAGTAATCAAAGCATTTTATTTACCTGAGAAAGGTAATTCTCCATAATTCCTATATATCCCATGACATGTTATGCACTTACTTTTGAACCATTAAAAGAGCTATGAATGCACCAGGAGGGTGGGAAGGAAGGTATATGGCTCCAAGAAACATTATTGTATATTTATTAATAGATTTCAGCCAGGAGACCGAAAACTGCATTTTCTTTTGAAAAGACTGGGCAAAAATTGACACAAGTGGCTGGCTTTTGAAAGAAAATGCATGAAAAGGAGAAATACCTTTAAGTAAGAAATCATACAAACTATTGTATGAGGTAACGGTGCACCTGGTAACAAAGTGTTTACTTGTTGTACTTCTAGATGTAATAGTACATTACAGTGTGTGTGCAGTGTGTTTTAAAGTTGGACATGACAAAATAAAGTCAGTTCCACAGTTATTTAAACTTTGCTATTTGCACCAGACCAAGTGAGGCTGTCTACATCTATGAGTGAAATGAGCAAGAATGTGCTTCAGTGCTTGGAATTTAACTTTACATCATTAAAGAAGAATCATTTGTTATTTCATGCCTCAAAAGTCACATGGTCTTGCAACTTTAAGATTATGCCATCAACTAATCTACCTTTTTGACACAAGCATAGTGTCTATCTAATTCATTCACCTTAAGTCTGCTAAGTAAGAAAAAGCCAGCAGGTCTGGCATGGCAGTGATCCCATGGAAAATCCAATGGGCCAGCGTTTTCTTTGGAGAAGGCAGAAGTTTCTGTCCACCGTTACCTAACGGTCACCGTCTGGGAGAAAGCAGCGCATGTACATGCAAGGAGGCAGCACAAACACACACACACACACACACAGACACACACTTATTCTTCAACTATCACTCCGTCATTTTACAACGTCCCCGAGCAGTTGGCGCAAAAATGAGCAGCAGCTCATGGATTTCTTTAGTCATGCCAAACTGATTGGCTGACTTACTCACTCACAGAAACAGACACACACACAGTGTCAAGCAGAAAAAAATATTTTCTCTACCTCACATTGCAAACACACTCACCACACAAATCAGAACACACTCAAGTCTTTGTATGGCATTTTCTGAACGTCACTTAAGGTTTTAGAAACATTAAAAAAAAATTATTAACAACTACTTGCCAAACCTGAAGCGGGATTTAAACCCTTTCCCTAGCATATCCTATCAAATTTGAATCCTAAACCCAAATGTAATTGCATAAGGAAGGATGTGTCTTATCGTTCTGTTTTCCTAATCAGCAATTTAGTATCTTATTGCAAAACATATTTTAAAATCTTACCTTCCTGATCCAGTGGATCCTTGGCGTCTTTGTCTCCCACCAAGGACTCCCCCAGACCTCCGTCCGTTGAGCCGGGACGTCCAGCCTCTGCGCTCCTCAGCACAGCACTCTCCTTGTTCTGCACCCCTCCTTCTACTAGCTCACACTACATCTTTATTCCAGCCAGCTCGCTTAATTCAGGAGATACCACATCCAAAAATACAGCAAGCAGCTGAAACCACTACCCTCCAACACTTCTTTGAGCCAGCCTCTCCTCTGCCAGCACCTCCCCCTCCTCTTCTTCCTCCCCCACCTCCTCCCTCTATCTCCCAGGACTGTCCCAGGGCATGAAGGCCCCCAGCTGAGATGTGATCAGAGGTGCTCAGCAAGCAGCTGATGCTGGTGTAGTCTTGCGGCTGTAGCACACAGGTTGGGGGTGGTAGTCCATCCTTGTTCCTGATTTCCACCATCAGCAAGGGGCCAATGCGAGGATGAAGGTGAAGATCGCATGACGCATGATCGCAAGTCGGATTTTGTCTTTGCGCCCTGTAACAAATAATTTGCAGACTTCCTCACCTCCCCCCTCTTCTCCTTCTGCCCGTGCTGCAGTATCAACTCTTCTCTGCATCCCGTTTCCAGAAGAGCCCAAATGATTTTTCCTCCTTATGTCCGCTGTCACTGCACTGTCCCGACACTATTAAGCTTCTCCTCTACATCTCCCCTCTCGGTTTCCTATAACCCCCCTTTCCTTGCCTCGCCCCCTCCCTTCCTTGGACACCCCCAGCTAGCTCCCTATCCCTCTGCAATGCAGCCAGCAGTCTCCGACAATCCTTGGGACTGTTTGACCGGAGCCCCCTCTCCTCTTTCTCCACCTCTCCGCCTGACTCAAAGCATCCTTTATGGTCGTATTTATTTACCCTTTCTCTCCTCTCCTTCACTGAAGCCATGCTGCTGACGTCCAGGTTCCATGGCTGGGGAGGCAGCCTCACACACACTGCATTACGCAATTTTACATTACAGGTCATTTTAGCTGACGCTTTTATCCAAAGCGACTTACATTGCATTTTTAACCCATGACCGGGGAGCAATTAGGAGTTAGATGTCTTGCTCAGGGACACTTCGACATGGGACATGGCCAGGGCTTGAACCGCCAACCTTGAGGTTCCCAGCGCACCCTCTCTACCCCTGCGCCACGTCGACCCAATTGAGTCTTTACACCACACTGCATTTCATTTATGTTAGTTGATAGAATGCATATTACAGAGAAACAGGCAAAAATTGTTCCACTCTATCACCTTACAAGTTGAGCATACCTGACAATACGTTCTTTCTGGCTCCCTGACTGTATAACACACTTGAGTAACAGCACTTACTGTTTTAGCCCTTGGGTTTTATCAGTCAAATGGGCCTTTGCTTCAGCACTGCAAAAGGCTTTGAAATATGCTTCTGCTGAGATAAAGCTGACTCTTTCTTTACATTGAGGTTTGCGATAGGGCATGGTATCTTTTGGGAATGAGCAGAAATACCCCAGTACACCTAGTAGGATCAACATCTTTCAAGACAAATGGTATCTGTAAATGATCCTATTTGTGCCCAAATCTAGGGGGGGAAAAAACAATTTCTATGGTTTTGTGCGAGTTCTTCAATACATAGTCAGGACTGCCTGCACAGGATAGCAGTGGCGCTACAGTCACTGCTAAGAGCACTATTTAGATGGATAGCGATTGTAAAAAGAAAGTCTCATGTTTGGAGATATTTTAGAAACAGGCTGTCTGAAATGTATTTATGTAAATAATGGCAAATTAAATTGTTCACAGGATATCCAAGTCAAAACCATTTAGTCATGTTTATCATTTTTGTGAAATAGTCACTAGCAATAACAAATTGATATCCTAATAAATTAACTATATAAAAGATATTAAGATATTTTCTTTTGAATTGTGATCATACAGCATTCACAGACACACATCACGGACTTGCACAATTGCACAATTATTCACCCCTCCCCCCGAGTCAATACTTGGTAGAACCCCCTTTCACTGCAATTCTAGCTGCAAGTCTTTTGGGGTTTGTCTCCACCGGCTTTGCACAGAGATGCACATAGAGATGGAAACGTTGTTCATTGTTGGATGAAGATGAACCTCGGCCGGAATCTCAAGTCTTTTTAGACTGCATGTTTTCTTCCTTCCCTCAATTCTGAATAGTTTCCTTGTAGGTGCTGAAGAAAAGCATCCCCACAGCATGATGCTTCCAATGCTTTATTTCCCTGTTGGGATGGTGTGCTCAGGGTGATCGACAGTGTTGGGTTTTCATTGAGGTAAAAGAAGATTCAATTCTGATCTCATCTGACCACAGCACATTCTTCCACATGTTTGCAGTGTTCTCACATTGCTAGTGGCAAACTCCAAACGAGATGAAACAGTGGCCTTCTTGCTACTCTTCCATAGAGGCCACATTTGTGGAGTACACGGCTAACTATCCAGGTATCCTATCCAGTTTAGTAGTTATTTATATAAATTTCCTTTTGAATGGAATCTAGCTACAGTACATTAACACATCTCACTACTCATGATACATCAAGTTGACATGAGCGATTTACAACAAGCTTGTCCAGAGGGAAAAAAAAAGGAGACAATAACCTCCTTGTGTGGGACCTGATTGGTCTAAATATAACATCGTGTTCATCAACTTCATATCAGCTTTGGTTTGACATACACTGCATGTCGGTGGATAGTGGGAGAATTCTAATGCATTTATATTCGCTTTTGATACCATTAGCTACTAACATATTTAATAACCCGAGTTGGCATTACACAAATTTCTTAGACGATACCTTACATTTTGAAAGTTTGTCCAACATTAATGCTGGAATAGTACAGTGTACTGTGAGTGTGTTGCAAAGGCAGACACAGGTATCAAACATTCTATTTGTGTGTCAAATTTCAAAGACAATATGAAGCTTGTAACGGGACAATATTTACATTGATTACCGAATGACTAGGTTATAATCTCTGTTCACTTGAAGTGATTACACTCAGAACCTGCTGCTAGTCGCCAAAAGGACGGAGCAGGGGCCAAACCTATATCCCTAAAAGCAGTGGAGTGCCCCTTTAAGCTTGGAATCCAGCCTGGTTTTCCTCCATCAAGGGTGGCTGAGCTGTCAAATCCTTAATGAGATCCTAGGTAAAATAATGGTAATAACGTACCCATTTAGTATAACAATTCCGAACAACCGGTTAATAAAACTTTATTTGGATTTGGTTGGAGAGTAGAACATGATGAATGCTTATTTCGGAAGCTGCCGGTAGTTTGGACCTGTAGCTTCTGTGCGTCCAGAGGTACCATAAAGTTCTCGTCACATGGAGGCAGAACTAGTGCTGCTTAGAGGTAGAGCATATAAAAATATGTCCAAACTGTGGAGGGGTTATAAAGGAGATTAAAATGGTCCTATGGCAGGACAACAATCTTCTTCTGCAGCTTCTGCTTAGGGAAGATGAACCTCTTCATTATGTCATCCATCTCCTCCAGAGCTAGCTGGGCATGGAGCACAGCAACATCATCTGGGTCGGAGCGCACCACCCACTTCAGGGCTCGATACAGGTCCAACAACACATCACTGAGAACCTGGAGGAGCGACAGACAGACATTACGTTGTTGAAAACATTTTAGACGGGTCTGCAAACCACTGGACCGTCTGTTAATACTGGTTTATTTTTGACGGGTCTACAGATCAATGGACCATTGATACTGGTTGCGTTTGCTTTTTCACCCAGGCAAGTTTGGCAACTCCTTTGTAAATTACTAATAGAATCGATGTGCCTAACTTCTAAGATAAAACCCAAGTCGTACAGAATTGAGAAAGCAAGAAAACAAAGAAACCTGCTGTTTGCCAATGACATGTTAAGGTAAAAATGGGTGTAGGAGCTAGGCATTGTTGGTTCCACCTGGTACGCCCCTTTTTCTTTCCTGTACGTTAATTGAGTCACGTGGTGTTTGGCATCTATTTGGATAAAGGTGTGTCTTCAATATTTGGTTAGGGAAATGGAAAGAGAGGGAGTGAGAGACTGGGTTTTGTATTATGTTGGCCACAAAACTACGTTGAAGTATTCTACACCGATGCTTGATTAATTGTATAATATACCTAAATCAAACCAATGCAGTTACTGGATCAGGAATTCATTGAAGGAAGCGCGTCCACAAATCTCCCCTACTCAGCCTCTCGGTGACAAAGAGCAAATCATGTCACCTATCATGATCATGATTAATGTTCCAATATCCATATTAGTCTGTAATCATCTTCAATTTATAAGGATAGGAGCTATACAACAAAGTACACCTTGCCCTTAAACTGAGCACAGATGTGTGTTTTGGTATTCATCCATCTGGCTGTTTGATTAAGCAGTTTGTGGGCCAGCCATACTTAGAAAGGAGGGGCTGGTCGATAGAGTTCATCAGGGTGGAGAGACAAAAGGTTTCCCATAACCTCGTAGGGGACATGGAAGGCAGAGGATCATTGGATCCCCTACGCTGTTCTTGCGCTACCTGATGGCCCACGCTCACACAACTCATGTGTGTCTAAGACCACCTGTTCTCATTGCACTCAATCATTAGGCATATACAGCTGGTGTTCCCTTCCAGCTGTTTCAGTAATGACAGGACCTGCCCTAGGAACAGCAGCTGGACGGCTCACCTGTAGGTGTGTTCCCACTAGGCAACCACAGAAAGACCAATTCATGTCACTTTCATACAAGCAGGGTCCAACAATGGGTCTTTCATTAGGCTCCAATACTTTTGTTAGCAACACTGTGTGCCATGAACACACAAAGTAGCAGAATTACAGCAATGACAGACCCAGAAAAATTGAGTAAATCCAGCAAGACATTCTGCCTCGCTGCTGAACAACGGAGCAGTGATTGGCTCTGTCCCTGTGGTGGACTATCTAAGAATAATACTTTGGCACAGACGGCAACAGTAACCACACATTGATAGTGGGAGGAATTCGAAGCAGTGAGAAAGAGTCAAACATGGTGTTTGGAGGGAGCCTCCTTGCGACATTTTTACCAAAGGGAAGCTGGGACTAGATTACAGGACTAACATACAAATGTATAAAATAAATTGATAGATTGGAGCCGCTTGTTATTAATTCACATGAAAGCTTACAACGTAGAGGCCCTTTTGAAAGTGAACTGATCATCTGGTTAGTCTCCACTGAGTGATGGCAGTGTGTGTGTGTGTGTGTGTGTGTGTACCTCGGTGGTTTTGTCGCTGAGGCCTCGGAGCAGCAGGGTGATAACATGGACAGCAGCTCTCCTCACCTCTGCCTCCTTCTCAGTTTTTATCAAAGCGGTCAGACAGGAGCAGAGCTGCACACATAAAAACTAATGTAGTTAGTGGTATGAACATGGAGGACTTTTTTATTTCAAATGGAGTAGTGCATATTGTAGCAAAGACTAGTTTCGCACGGTGTAATGCATTAATATATTCACACGTATTGAGTACACAATGTTCCTGTTCGAAGTCGGTTCTGCTCGGTTTGGAACCCTAATGGGAAGACTTCGAGAGTAACAAGGGGATTACAAGAGGAGTCTCCTCCCATGAACCAATGAAGAGTCATATCACTAATGTGGACATGTATTTTCAAACAGCTGAGTGAGCCCCACTTGTGTCCACTCTGTTGAAAGGTACAGGCCTGTGTCTGTGGCAGGCAGTGGGTCACCTGACCCACCTTGACCAGAGCAGTATCACCTGGCTCACTTTCAGTTCATACTTCCTATTTACCCAAGGAAAATAATATATTGATTTGCTTCCAGTTCATCTGGAATACATTGGCAATTAATGTTTTTTTTTTTTTTTTTTTTGTTTTTAAGATCAGATCGGTAGTTCATTAGCTGAAGATACAAAACGTTGACTACTATAAATATGCTGTTATTTATTTTGTCAATGTGTTCCTAACATGTACCCCATGTGTCGGTTATTAGCATCTGTGATGGCCAAAGCCCCACAACATTACCTTGTTGCAGAGTTACCTTCCTGGTTGGACAAAAGATGAGGCTTAAGGGGGAGTGTTCATGAAAGAGGCCTGAGCCAAGGACCATACCAAGAGCTTTGACAGCATGGGGGAATTAGGTTGGGTTTGTTTTACGTTGTAAGTCATATCTTTGGTTGCCTTTGCTTTTTGTTGGTTTAGTCAGCCACTATATATGTTTCACGCAAGTGTTGGGGCGGTTAATGAAGTGGATGCATTGCATTGGTAAACCTTATTCTGGAACAGTTATGTTTTGCTAACTCCTTTAATTGTGTTCAATGCTAGAACGCCATTTTTTGGGGGTGAGGGGGGTTAAATGTTCCATATTGACAAATGTTTGGGAAAATGAAGCAATCCTTTTGCAGTAAAACAAAAAAAAAAGTTTCCTTGTGCCTTGACAAGCATCTGTGAGCATCCCTGTAGAGCAGGCTAAACGTTTTGTGTGTATTACGTTTTGTCCTCTCTGTGGATCACAGGAAGATTAGCGTCAGTTAATGGGGATCCAATAAATAAACAAATGGGTGAATGATGACATTAAGTGTTAAAGAGCTTTAAGTGGTACAAAGACTAGAAAAGATGTACAAGTACATTGTGATTAGCGTTCATGTACTGGTACTAGGTCTTGTGGCTTGTGTGTCTACTTATAAGTACTTAGTGAACCTTATTGAGGAAGATACAATAGCTGAAGATGTGTCTCTCATCCCTCTAATTTAATACTGTCGGTATGACATGAAATGTTTTTGTAAAAGGTGAACGCTGAGGTCAGTCAGTTTGAGCCCTAGAGCTCAGGCATCAGACACAATGCAAATACTTTCAGGTTTTCGTAGATTTTTCCTTTTCTGAAATTGTTGAAACGGCAGAGTGACACAGACTGCATGAAACATGTGCAATGATGTTTGAGGAAACAAGGACGGTGATAGATGCAAATCCAACGGTTCTGATAGGCTGCTGTATGCCTTCATGAATCGTTCAGGTGGCATTTCACATTCACGACTTCATCCTATTAGAAATTTGTGTGAAATTGTCACATTTAGCATACAGTCCTGTTTGTTAAAGCCAAATAACTACCATTCAAGAGGATATTGATATTTGACCAAAAATGTTTACCCTTAAGTCCAGGCATTTCTAGAGTGACCACCAATAACATAATGCCGTTATGATACAATCAATTACATTACCCTCTTCCCCGTATTGCCAAATTCCTACAATATACAGGCCCACTATTTATCATGTACTGGTAGAACCAGTTCATCCAATAGGATTTCATGTTGGTTTGCTCCCTCTCACCTCTTGGGCCAGAGTTCCCAGGGTATAGTCCAGTCTTGGACAGAGCTCCCCCAGGTTTGACAAACTGCTGGCCCGGACACTTTGGTCTGGGTCCCTGGTTCCTTGCAGGAAAACGCTAATCAGAGGATGGCCGAGGTGGGTTGCCAGTTCCCCTGGAGAAAGGGGAGTGGGTGGACAGGTTAGATGCATTCACAGTAATCAAATATATATTTATACGGTTAAATAAAGATGTAAACAGTGTGTGCACACTTTCAAAGGGCTTTCCAAAGACATCTCGATATTCTACCACGCGACTCAATTAAGAAAAGCTTCTTATTTAAAAATGTCAGACTGGCGAAAAGAAAATCTTGGCAACTCAGGAGGAGGGTTCAAGACAAACATTGAGGCTCTCTGGATACCTATGATCCAAAACGATGATCTATCTAACCACACAGCCGGGATTTAGACCCCCGATTGTCCCGGGCAACTAGAGCTTTCTCTCAGGGGAAGGTTTTGACGAACAGGGTCCCTACTGAGCAGAACTGTCAAAGTGTGCACGGTGGCCTTTGTGATGTGGTGGCTGCATGCCGATAGCTGTCCACAACAGTGAAATAACAATACTGTAAACAAACATGGACAGAAAATGAGAATTTGTTAACGTTACAGGTGTGAATCTTCAATGATGCTAAATCACATCCCCCATCTATGCTACTACTACTACACATGGATACTTTTATGTCATATCAGTCTACTTTATATCAATCAATGGTTAGTCATTAGTCAAGACTACAATATGTATATAATGTGAAGATCCTTATGAGTATCAGTATCTGTGTCCCATTCCAGTATTACTAAAAAGTGTCCAGTGTAAAATAAGTAACAGATGACCTGCTACACAGAACAATCCGATCACCCATCAAGCTTTACACTTTACAGTAAATACTTGATCTTGGATGGTGATGGATAAAACCCACTTGCCAACAGAAGTGTAAAAGAATGTTTTTCATGGAGAAAAGTATTTTCAGTGTGCTTCTTTGTACTTCGCTATGTTTGTTGAGGGCCCAACAATATGTACTGCGATAACGGCAGCATGCACAATCTGGTGCTTGAACTTAAACCTTCAATTATTTTCCCTTGAGTAAATATCAATCGTGAGACCTGATTTATAGTTTGGTGATTTATTTTGTAAATTATCTTGATAATTCTAATTATTAGAATTGATTCTATGGGATAGAGCTCCTCATAATTAACTTCACCCGTGACTTATTTATGGTGGTTATTTGCAATTTACAATTAGAAGATTGTATTTTTATTGAGATTAGTTCCGAAGAGTCTTTTCCCAGTACAACAATGTAGGAGCTCGGACACCATAGACATTGACAAGCGGAAACTTGTATAACCAGGGTTATTCCCAACATCCCTACTTCAAACAATGCTCTAAAGAACCAATTTGATTACCACAAAGAATTGCACATAAGATTTGTTGTTAAAGTGCAATGATATATTTAAATGATTGAGAATAATGTTTTAGTAAGATTAATGAAATCGTGCATTTTTTCAGTAAGGAACTGGACAAGGCTAGTGGCAGGCAGACCACATAATCAAAGAACGCTAAATATAAGAGAGAAAATAATCTAGCTAAAATAAGCCAAAATATTATTATAAATATATCTCAATTATACCCCCCCCCCCTTCTCCCCACTAGGAATGATGAAATCTAATACCATCTCATCCCATATGGTTAAGAATATATAGATGGGATCTTGTGAGCGCAAGACAGATGCTCAGACGGTAAGATTGCCTCCGTTTCTTGTTATTTACCATACTTGACTTTGTCAAGAGGGAGTTTACTGCGTCAGACACACAGGACACAATCACATTAAGACATGGGCATCACGCCAAAAGAGTATCTGGTGAGACAAACCGTGTGAAGAACCAACAGACCCAACAAATCAACCAACAAACTCACCCATTGCCCTGCTCGCCCTCATCAGAACCTCTCCCACTTTGAGGCGGAATTCCAGGGAGTGCTCCTTGTTGGATGTGGTACGGGAGGGTCCATGATGAAAGTCTTTCAGAAGCCTTTCCAGAACCCTCTCAGGGTTTGAATCTGCCAATGCAGACAAACCTAAAGACACACACAATCAGACAATCTATATACCTATATAGAGTTACAGATCCATGCTTCAGCTTTACAGTTGAGGATGATTCCATCACATTGATACTAACAGCACATTTGGCCAAGCCTGACCATCATATTACCTTGAATGGCTGACAGGTAGATGAATGAGTCTTCATGCTCTAGGTTTTCTAAGAAGAGCTGGAAAAGATGGTAAAGATACTTTTAAAAGGACATGCCAACATAAACTGGCAGAGCTGAAGATCAAACCACTGACCACGACCCGAGCCACGGTTGCATCCAAAAGATAGATCAGCATGATCAATCACAACACAGACAGGACATTTTGGCATCGCTATGGAAATATTTGCATCTAAACATCTAAAATGTCACCAATATGGATTTTTCTAAGAAAACAAAAAATAAATAAATAAAAATGTGTTTTTCACTGAATTTGTTAAATACAACAACCCAAACAAACCCTTGTGCTTTAAGGATACCTTGGAAAACAAGGCTTTCTTAGAGCAACTGGAAAGAATGGGTTAGAGTTGACAAAAATATATATATTTTCTTCTAGTTGGGTCTAACAATGGGTTGGGTTTGTTGGTATTTTTTGGATATGTTAACAAAAAAGACAGTGAAAATATTCATTTAAATGCATAGTACTATATTTTGTGTCAGTCAATTTCTCCAAATAACAAACATTAAGGAATGAAGGAGGATATAAGAAACATATAAAAAGGTAAAATGTACAATGCAGGAGAACTAAAGGAGAAAAAACTAAATCAATAAAAAGGGTCTCTGCTGTAACAAGGGAGTGGGTGGAGGGGATGGACTGATTACAGAGAATTATAAATGAGTTTAGCCTTTCTTGCCTATAATGCCTTAACAAGGCCCTAGGACGCTCTGGCTCATTCATTATAAATGTTTTCTCATGTCCCAAGAGACAAACAACACCACAACCTACCTGCGGCTGATTCCCACATACTGTGCATGGAACAATAGCACTAGGTCCAACTGGCATCCTAGCGTCAATACGTTTCCCCAGAAGTCAGTCATGAGATTGCATCAGCACATGGGTTAACTAGTTTAGGAGCTAAGCTAACACAGCTAGTCCCATAGGGAATTCCACAATCAAGAGACTCTAATCAGATAAGTCCTGCACAGCTGTTTCAAGTACCAATTACATTTGGCATCTCAGCCACAACCATTTCAGGTTGCATCAGGAGCCCTTTGCTCTGAGACCCCTGCTGAATGCGCTAGACTCAAATGAACTACAGCCTTGATCTGCAGTGCTGTCCAAACATGCCAAATGGCGTGATCACATTCGCGTTACAATAAGCAAGTTCAGCCCCAATAAAGGGCAAGTGGCAACCATTAGAATGTGCACATCTTCTAGAACTTGTAAAGGGCCAATAAATGTCTCTTTTACTTAATCAGTCATGCCTTACTCTCACTGGCCCAGGTCCACTATAAAAAGGATGACCTAAATGTCTATATAGTGTAGAAACAGACAAACAGCAATCACATGAATTATTATTATTAGTATGTATAATGTGCGTTTCTAATAAATGGTGACGCTTCTATCAGGCAACAACCCTGTTATAGGAAGATGTTTGTGCAACGCTGATGGTTACATTCACCAGCAAAAGGCTTGTTTTCTCAGTAATTCAATTGTTCTTTAGTCTACATTCATCTTAATACAGTACAACTCATTGCATCTTGTAATACAAGAATTGTTGTGTAGAGAAGTAAACTATAGCAGATATTTTCATTGTGTACACATAAGGCCAAACCATGTTTTTAAAGATAGCTTCTTATTCCAAAAAAAAAACGTGTAATTAATAGTTTCAGTGCATCAAAGTCAAGAATGAAAAACTCAAATTAAGTTGTATACAAAGCAACCAACCATCAGGAGCTTCTCCTGGTTGTGGGCAGCCTCTGGGTTTCCGCTCTTCACCATCTGAGTCAGGACCCTCAGGGCGAACGCTCTGGTTGGCACATCCGGGTCACAAGCTTCTAGCAGCCAATCGGAAAAAGGCTTGGTAGGAGGGTGAAGGGTACTGGTTCCAGAAGTCCTACCTTCTGGACTTACTTTCGCTGCAGACTTTCCAAAGGACGCTGGAGGTCTATTGCTTTTGGCGTTTCGGTCTGGTGGCGATGAATGAGGACTTATCTGGGGGTTGTTAGCTCCGGTTTGCGTGTTCTTGACTGTCATTTTAGGCTTCATGGAGGCCGAAGCGACAGCGGGGAAGTTCTCAGGCCGGTAGGCCCCATGAGTGGCAATGACAGCTCTGAGGTCGGATGCCAGCTGCTGGATGAGCACCTCAGGGTGCTTCTGAGACAGCGACTCCAGTGGCGGGAGCAGTCTCCACATAGAAGAGTAGTCTTCTTGACTAAGCTTTAGTACAAAAAGGGGAAAGGTTGTTTGGGAGACAGCTTAGCAAATCCTGAAGAACATATATTATTAACTTAAGATGCTTGTACAACTGGTAGCTCCCGTGAATTTCACTACACTTCTGTCTGTATTTGATTGGCTTTTGTCGTGTTTATTACTAGCACACTAATGGCATCTGACAGAATGCATTTATAAACACCTGAAAAGGAACCGGTAGAATTAGGTGCACCGAGGAATCTGTTTGCATCATGATGCTCGGTCCTCAAACATTCACACTTTTCAAGCCAAAGAAATTTTTTACTGGAGCAAAATAGAGATCTATGATATTTCAGTTATCCAGCAGATAGTGGCCTAAAACAATACAAGTACAATAACTTACTTTATAACTTGTGAACTAGCCCCCCACAGGTCACACTGTATATCATGTCTAAGTTAATCTGCTTACTGTATGGTAAAAGATTAGTTTCAATTAGAACATTGTATGGTAAATGCAGCCCAATCCGTATGTCCATTTCATTCCTTTCCCAGTTTAAAGTGTCCACTTTAAAACATTCCTGCAACTTTGTAACCCTAGTGGACGGTCTGCATCTCCCCTTTGCTACATTTCTGTCTCTCAATTTCTCTATTTATATAATTAATTTATACCGTGTTATATAATGTATATATACACACATTTTAAATTATTGGCAGTGACTTGACTTTAAAAAATACTTTTGATGCAGTAAATTATGTCTACTATTACCATTATGCATTACGCTTCATTAAAGTAGCAGGTGGATTAGCTCGCTACAACTTGTCCTGTTGGCGATATAAAATTAGAATTGTTGAAAAAGATGTGTAGAGAATCATATATCAGTTAGTAGTTAAGTAAATGTTACAGTAAAGATTATTTTTATTACCAGACCAATATTTGATTAATGCTGGTGAAGAAGTGAATAATCCAGGCAACACAGGCAACTTTGAAAATACTGTATCCATCTTTTCCCTGTGGTAAATAGTTAAGTCAGATTTGCACATTTTCATGGGGGAGGAAATGCATTCAACACATAATTACAATGTAAATGTATTTGAGAGTAAGTGAGAATGTAGTTAAAAACCAAGTGTGACTACCTTAGGTCCAGACAGCAGAGTAGCCACAACGCCTATCCCCAACCGCAGCGTCTCGCTCTCTACTGGCCTTCCAAGAACTGGACCAGAGGCCTGACCCAGACCCAAACAGGCCCTCTGAAGCAGAGACATCAAGAAGTCCACCACCTGGAGAGAATACAAGCAGAATCATCGGCACAAATGATCAAATATGATCAATATTAAAGTAAAATCTCACAGTGGCAAATATAGGACAATTAAGACAGTGGCTCTTCAAACAGATGAACATTGTGTCCATAGAGAATTTAATGATGAATGTGCACGATGAAGGCAGTGGTACAAGTGGAAGGATAGTGTGGGGTAGAAGTAATGCTCCTTCAGGGTACATCACTATAGTTCTCTAGGTATTGCGGGATGGGGACAGATATGCAGCCTGTGAAGGCAACCGACGTGTACCTCTTGTTTACATCATCAAATAGAATAAATACTAGCAGAGCTTTGGAGAGAGCTACATTTTAGATATAGAAGATATAGGCTCCATTTGACTTATTTTCTAATTTGATCTTTTGGCAGTGTAAATATAACCCTCCATTTGAAATCCGGTATCAATATGCTGAATATAGATGCTGAATATATTGAATTCATAATATAATAAAATGATGGAAATAAAGCCATTGTTTTTTTTTCCTTGTGACCAACTACAAACTTGCAGTATTTTACAAAATACCAGATGGATAAGGATAAACAAATGATATGTAAAAAAAGAAAGAAAAGCGGTTCCTGTGCTAAAAACTCCTACGGGGTATTGCTTTTAGCTGTGCCTAGAGGAGTAGGTCTGTATTAAAGTTACCCACCCAAAATATTATATTCCCTCTAGAGACTGTTAAAAGCGACATTGCAACAGTGCAACAAAATAGGAGACTCTTAAATATTTGATCTCATCAAAACTCTCAAAAGAATACGTCAGCTTAAATGAAGCGATTCCTCAAAGTTATGTTAATACTCATTTTCCTCAAAAAGCAGGCCAAGGAGTGGAGAAGTAGCTATTTTTGACTCTTGCCTTTTAATAAATCTTAAACCTAAACTAACCTAAACTAATAACTCATTTGAAAGCATCATTCTCAGTCTTTAGTACCAAACCTGGAAATCGATACAGATGGTTCTCCTTGTAGTGTATTGTCCCATGGTCCTTATTCAGAATTCAATAGTCTAAACAAGTTTGGTCCTTAAAACGGACAAAGTAATTATTTTGGGCCAATATTTACGTTGAGTCTTGGTCCTGCATTTATCGCATTGATACATTCAATTCAATGGTTTCCGTAGGTGTTGGTGCTACCATATCATTGGTAGGTTGGGGGTCGTTGTGGCGCAGGGGTTAGAGAAGGTGTGCTGGGAAGCACAAAGGTTGGTGGTTCCCAGTTGATTGGTTCGATTCCAGGCTGCCCCATGTTCCATGTCGAAGTGTCCCTGAGCAAGACACCTAACCCCTAATTGCTCCCCGGGCAAAAATGTGAAAAAGCCATGGTTTAAAGTGTAATGTAAGTCGCTTTGGATAAAAGCGTCTGCTAAATGACCTGTAATGTAATGTAATAATATCATGATAAACAGTGTAATAACTCTGGAAATATTTTGTCTATCTGGACAATTTCTTTTTGGTGAGGAAAAGCCCCTGTGAGTTTTTGGATGATACTGGTGAAGAAATAAATTAATAACAAAAAAAAAATCTTAGAATTTTGTGAATTGCGTGAAATAAAAGCCCTATAAAACATGGAGACACAAGGCTAAGAGCAAATCTACTTGATAGTGTGTGGACAATACACATGTAAAGTTTACGTTGATAGGATTAATACTAGGATTAATGTCTGGTAGACCGATTTGTCACTTTCAACCACCTTTTTCAAATTGGCTTTTAGATTGGATAAGACTAAACCCACAAGGAAATGATCAACAGCTTCCTTAGCCACTCAGAAGCCAAAATGGGTAGAGGGGTAGAGGATAAAGTGGCACTCGAGAGTGGGGATTGGCTGAAAGACGGATTAATTTCATAATGAAAAAAAAAAAAAAAGGTGTGGGGCATTTATGTTTTATATGCTTATTTTTTGTTGGTTTGTAGTGGTTTTATGATGATACTTATATCCACGTCTTGTTTGCTGCCTGCTTTGCCGAGGAACAAATGCACCGCCATGTGCACATTTTCTGGACTAATTTGTATATATATATATATATATATATATATATATATATGTCGGAGTTGTGTTGAGTATTTTCAAACGGATTAGTGTATATTGTGGCTAAGACTAATGTACGAACGGTGTTGTGCGTCGCTTTGGATAAAAGCGTCCGCTAAATGACATGTAATGAGAGTGGAGCTGAGAGTGGCGCTGGCGGTTACATGGTGGTTATTAATTTATTACATTTCAGGTTGTCCATTCTGTACACATGATATGTATTGCATTCTGTCCATCCCGGGGGAGGAATTCCTCATCTGCTATTTTTTTTCATTTTTCTTCCCATCGAAGGTTTTTTTTTAACTTTTTGCAGGAGTTTTTTCCTGTGCCGATGTGAGAGTTTAAGAGGATGTCTCATGTGTACGGAAACCCTCTGAGGCCAATTTGTAATTTTGGACTATGAAGTGTCTATGAAGTCTTGATTTAAAGAAATTTATGTATCAATATTGGCATAATCTGCCTCAGTCTATGAGTTCCTCCAACTGAATTTCTCTCCACTGACCTGTGAGGTTTTTCTCAGCAGCACAGTATGCTGCACACAATCAACCATCACAGCCAACACCTGAAGCAGAGCCAGTTTCCGGCTTTGGTTCGCAGATGGAGCCAGCAGCCGCTGCTCCACCTCCACAAGTGTCATGGTGGTTATGTCCAGCTCTGGGTCATCTTCCCTTTCCCCATCTGCTGCAGCTTCCCAGCTAGCCATCTCCTATAGGAGAAGCAATTCAAAGATAGAATGTTGACTGAGGTTACGGTCTCCTAAGGGCAAAATACAAATAACTGAAGCACCACACAATAGAATGTAATGGCCACAGATGTGGAAACCTCTCTGCCACTAAGCAAAAAAAAACCCACAATGATTTGTTTATCACAATGGATTAAATCGTTTTTTACAGGTGTGTACACCCTACCTGTAGCAGGTCGAGGAAGAAGTCTCCCGGCAGGTCACAGTGTTTGAGGTCAGCCAATAGCTGCATAAGACACTCCAGCCTCCACTGCTCTTCTGACAACTTCTCATACAAAGCATCGTCCTCTTCACTGGAAGACAACAAGAGGGATGAGAGGAGCGACACTGAGAAACAAAAGAGGCCAGTTTTATTCATACCTTCTAACTCACAAGGGGTGAAAAAGGTGACAACGTGGGGCAACATGCCCTTCGGGATAATTTTTCTACAAAAAGTGAGCCAATGTAGATTAATCTATCAGACAAATTAGGCTGGGTCTGATTTTCTTGATCAAACTTCACATTCTACCACACCACATCTACGTCTAATGAAACCTCAAGCTTTTATGATTACAGTGTTGTGATTGCTCTGACCAAAGATCTTTACTGATCTGATTAAGATGCCCCAAAACACGTACGGTAATGATCATAATCTAGTATTGGCGGCAACTTAAAATTTCAAGTCAACCGGTGAAAAGTTGGAGGAGAATTGAAGACGCTGTAGACATCTTAACACTGATTGGCCAAGACTCAACGCATCCTATCAAATATGTTTTACTGTAAAGATCACGTCACCTTTTCTCTATGTCTCACTCCAATCTCAGAAATGCTGGTAGGCCACTGGACCCGCCCATCCCAAAAAAAACCTAGGGATCTATACAATTCACGTGGATGACATTTTGAATTTGAGAGGACAAATTTCGGTTTGGAGGTATGTATATTCACAGCCAGCTGTGATGGGGGTTGGAACAAACTGAGGGTATCTTTTTTTTAAAGAAATTTTATCGTGGCTGATTGGCCCAAAAGAAATCCTATTCTACAATATTATTCTTTTGTCCGGCTCATCCTGTCATGGGTTTGGGGAGGCCATGTCCATCCTTTGCTTCTGCGCGTCATTCACCTGGATATCTCCCTTGAGCTCAGACGGGCTCCTCCATCACTGCCCGGGGTGAAGTGGAACTTTGCTGCTACCTCGTTTTTTGGGTCCTGCAGACCTGAAAGCTGTCTCAGTGCTGACCGGGCCGCAGACGTGTCAGCGTGGCTCAAGTACCACAGAAGGATCTCCTCACAGGGGGCGCTATGGAGCCAGGAGCACACACAGAGCTCATTGTCCTACCATAGAACACATTCAATAAAATTCATGTATTCTTCACATTTTTGCATATTATTTATTATTATTATTATATTATTGTGTGGAAAAATGTCATGCGCTAAACTGGGAACGTCTAACATCTATTGGCTTTCTCTAGGATTGGCAACAAGCCCCAAAACAACCATGTGTTAGTTCATCTTTTGAGGTTGAGCTTTGATGTTCGGGATGTTCTAGCATTCGGTTGCAAGATGCATCGGAGTTAGAGACCCCAACGAACTTGAACTGGTTAGGAAGGCCGGTTCCATTATCGGTTTAAATTGTCTATATTGGGTAACCAGGACCACCCTCTGATAACCAGGACAACTATCAGCATCACCTAGGGACAGCTATAGGACTTTTGCCCACTGGAATAGGAAAAAACATCTGTCAACTTGGTTGGAACATGGTAACATCCAGAGGTGTCAAGTAACAAAGTACAAATACCACCCCCCCCGCCCATGACGTAGTAAACCTGGGGGAGACACTGCAGTCTACCTAATCAATGCGAACAACTTGTATGTCCGTCCTCTGACTCGCGTCACTGGAAAATGGGTTGTGGTTTTATCTGTTTAAGTAAGATACATTTGTTGTTTTGGTGTTGTGTCTCTGAGTATCGCCATGTTTCCACCATCCCAACGGCAGGTCACGTGATCTGCAGGCACCTTCTGATCATATTGTAACGGACTGACGTGTTGTGTGAGCGAGGTTACGCATTAAGAGTTTGTCCTTAATGGAATTTATTACATTACTTTTACTTTTATACTTTAAGTGGTTTTGAAACCAGTACTTTTATACTTTTACTTAAGTAAAAAGCTTGAGTCGATACTTCAACAGGAGCCTTTTTAAACCCTAGTATCTGTACTTCTACTTGAGTAATGAATGTGAATACTTTTGACACCTCTGGTAACATCTATTATATTTACTTAATAATCAAAAGTTCTTTTCATGGGCTTAGTTGGGGGTTCGCTGTCTTGTCTTGATTTAAGAGTTAGGTAAGGAGCAGGCAGACACGAGTCTGACAGGATGGGGAGTCAGTTTATGTCCTGGTTGAGGAATGCAAGGTCTGCGGGTCAACTAGAAGATTTAGCAGCCAAAAGGGGGGTTAGAGACACACCAACACTATTCAACATACACACTCTGTTTACGATGTTTACGTTAAGTCAGGAGTCTGGACATTGGATGTGACCGGATCTTAGATGCGGGAGGTGGAAGGTCCTCCTCTACGCCAGTTTAGGGCCAATAGAAATCTTTCCTTCTCTGTCTTTCAAGGGTTATAAAACATGATGTTCTTGCTGATGTTAGTGAGTTGTTCTCCCGGCCTGTGTGCTGCCTGAACTGCTCCTGCCTTTGCAAACGCAGCGCTGATACTTGACCTGTGATCTGACAAATAAATTTCCCAGAGCAAGAGAAGTCATTCGGCTGAATTTTTGATAACCCCGACCAGGCTCCAAATCTTGAACACGTATTCTTACATACTTTGAAGAAGAGTAACATTGCAACTAAAACATTACCGCAGGTGAGAGACGTTCTGCTTGGTAAAACAGAAGAGTGTGAAGATAACAGGGAGAACTTCTTCCAGAGCTCCGAGAAGAGAAGCTGACGGACTGTTTCCAACCACACAGATCTATAAAAAAAAACAATGTGTGAGAGCCATTAAAAGGATTAGACATAGACAGAGACAGAGAGACAGATGTGTGACTGGTGTAAAGCATAAATCTCCAGCTGCAACAGGCAACCCGACCACCACAACACAAAAATATGTGGATGCATACTGTCCACATTGATGTCACGCTGGCCGGACTAGTCAAATCATCGGCGATGGTCCGGTCGACGGGGGTTGCAGGCCGTCATTTTCGAGCGGGCGCTGCTGCGTGGAGGAACACTGTCGTTGATCTCCCTGGTCTAATGCAAGCGCTCACAGAGTGTGACCTCCAGTGGACTTTTTAGGGATAGCAACTACTTTTATAGAAATGAAATTTATGTCTTTCTATCATCCGGCGGTCCGTAGGTTTGACACCCCTGCCCTACAATGTTGTTTGCACAGAAATGAAAAAGGTCTAGAAAACTACATTATATTAGTATATTATATATTATTATTATTATTATTATTGGGGGTCGTCGTGGCGCAGGGGTTAGAGAAGGTTAGAGAAGGTGTCCTGGGAAGCACAAGGTTGGTGGTTCGAGTCCAGGCTGCCCCATGTTGAAGTGTCCCTGAGCAAGACACCTAACCCCTAATTGCTCCCCAGGCAAAATGTGAAAAAGCGATGGGTTTAAAGTGTAATGTAAGTCGCTTTGGATAAAAGCGTCTGCTAAATGACCTGTAATGTAATGCAATTAGTTCGTTTTACTGCTTTTTGGGACTACAGATGAAAAATAGCTTTTTCGCTAACGACGCATTTACATAAATGTTTTTATTAAATCAGCACAGTCACGAATCACGTAAACCAAAACAATAACTTCAAAAACAAAGAAAGAACGACCCATTGGGCGCCAAGGTGTAATAGACACTCATTATGACTTCACCCAAAGCGGCGTGCATTTTTCAGTAAATATAATTCAATATCACTCTCAAAATAATCGCATTGGAATATTTTCATCGATATTCCCCCCCAAACGTCATACCTACGAACTCAGAGGAGACCAATATACAGTACTGCCGAGGAAATGGACATTCTTTGGATATCATCTCTTTGACGCCACAGAGTCCATATCCTCTTAACCAATGAGTGATGATCATTAATTAGCTCATTATAGTGTTCCTCACCTTGTACACATCAGTCACACAACGAGTCAGCTCACACTCCTCCACAGCAGCGTGGGAATCAACCTCATCTGGGGGAGTACACACACACACACACACACACACACACACACACACAGTAAGACAAACAGGACATCCACCCTACTCGCTGTCCTCCTACTAGAATATTTATATAAACCCATCTATACATACATACAGGTGAAACTCGAAAAATTAGAATATCGTGCAAAAGTTCATTTATTTCAGTAATTAAACTTAAAAGGTGAAACTATTATATAGACTCATTACATGCAAGTAAGATATTTCAAGCCTTTATTTGATATAATTTTGATGATTATGGCTTACAGCTGATGAAAACCCCAAATTCAAAATCTCAGAAAATTAGAATATTACATGAAATCAATAAAAAAAAAAAAGGATTTTAAATACAGAAATGTCAGCCCTCTGAAACGTATAATCATGCATATGTACTCAGTACTTTGTTTGGGGCCCTTTTGCATGAATTACTGCCTCAATGCGGCGCGGCATGGATGCGATCAGCCTGTGGCACTGCTGAGGTGTTATGGAAGACCAAGATGCTTCAATAGCGGCCTTCAGCTCTTCTGCATTGTTTGGTCTCATGTCTCTCATCTTTCTCTTGGCAATGCCCCATAGATTCTCTATGGGGTTCAGGTCAGGCGAGTTTGCTGGCCAATCAAGCACAGTAATACCATGGTCACTGAACCAGGTTTTGGTACTTTTGGTAGTGTGGGCAGGTGCCAAGTCCTGCTAGAAAATGAAGTCAGCATCTCCATAAAGCTTGTCTGCTGAAGGAAGCATGAAGTGCTCTAAAATATCCTGGTAGACGGCTGCGTTGACTCTGGACTTAATAAAGCACAGTGGACCAACACCAGCTGATGTCATGGCCCCCTAAACCAACACAGACTGTGGAAACTTCACACTGGACTTCAAGCATCTTGGATTATGTATATGTATATATATATATATTATATATATATATACATATATATATACATATATATATACATATATATATATACATATATATGTATATATATATGTATGTATATGTATGTATATATATGTATGTATATATATGTATATATATATGTATACATATATAATGACTTCCTAAAACTCCCACGGTCTCTTTGCATCTGGTGGACATAAAGCTGCATGAAAATGACAGTGGAGTAGAACAAGGCAAACAAAAACAACTCTGTAGTCTGTGGAAGCAAACGGAACTCCTCCCTGTTGTTACAGATACTATCTTACACACTACTCTAACACAGATACTCTAACACAGATTGATATGATGGTCTTGGTACTGACCCGAAGCAGTGGAACAGCGGTGGAGAGGTTCGAGCAGAGGAGTGAGCAGGTACTGGTGAGCAAAGTTGGGCTTCTCCTGCACCATGAGGAGCACCGCCCTGGTGGCCACACGCTGGTGCTGCTGGGCTGTCAGCTGGTCCTTGAAGTGCAGGAGTTCAAGGATCTAGACATGAAAAAATAAACAACTTAAAAATTCTTATGCAATCTAAACAAACACTCATCAGGGTTGAACAGTACGTGGGGCAAGAAGAGAAGGGAACAAACTGCTCAGGATGCAAAGCATACCACCTCATCAGTGAAGCATGGTGGATGTAGTGTAATGGTGTGGGCATGTATGGCTGGTTGCCTGATGTGACTCCTGACAAAAGCAGTGTTTTGGGCAATATTATCTGCTCATATTCAGTCAGATTACTTTTGGTCCATTGTAAGGGGGAGGCACACATATGAAATTGAAGCTGAAAATCTGCACTTCACTTAAAGCAAATCTTGATTGTTTCATTTCAAATCAATTGTGGTGGTGTACGGAGCCAAAATAATAAAAATTGTGTCAATGTCCAAATATTTAAGGACCTGACTGTACATACACACAGGCAAACAAAAGACATTTTCTCAATGAATGGACTGATCCTGTGTGTGTAATATATATATATTATATATATATTTTTTTAGATAGACTAGACCAGGGGTCTTAAACTCCGGCCCGCGGGCCACATCCGGCCTGCCGGGTGGTACCGACTTTCGCGTACCGCCCCGTCAACCGTACCGTTCTTGCCGCCATCCCTCCCCCCCTCGACCGTTTGCCGGTCAGACCGCCAACCCCCCCGGCAACCGTAATGGTCTGGGCCGCCGTTTGGTCGAAGTGGGCCGCATCTGACCTGCACCTGATTTGAGTTTGAGACCCCTGGACTAGAGAGATATCAGTGTTCGACCCCCCCCCCCCCTCCCCCCAACTAAGCTGTAAACCGCGGGGACCTGACCTGACGACAGACTTGTCCGTAGTAGGAGTCTGCTGATGCAGACTGCTGAGGACAGATTACCAGTATTCTGGCCACGCAGTCACATTTCCTCCAGTCTGCATTGGCTTCTAGAGGGCAGAACAGGATTGATTTAAAATCATCAAGGAGTTCAACTCGAAAAAGATTCAGAGACTAAACCACAGCATTAAGCGGATGATTTGGAGAGCTAATAACAAACTGATGTTTAACATTGTCTTACCTATTGTCAAGCTTAAAACGATGGAGTGGATCCTTACATATCCAATGTTTCAGTCAGACAATGTTCACCACTACTTCTCATTCTTCATCATTATTTCCCCTCCGGCTCACCTGTTCCTCCCTCCAAGATGGCTCTAACTACAGCCTGGACACCGTTGGACTGCATCAGACGCTCAGACAGCAGCCGACCACACACACGCTTCAACCAGGTGGGAGCTAGTCCTGAAGCAGTGCCGTTGCTGGAGCTCCCCCCTGCCCCAGACTACAGGGAGGGACAGTCCTTAGAAAACATTCACTCACCTCTGTATTTGCACAACAAATACCAACATTGGGAAATCTGAACCAAAATGATTGGTTCATGTAAAATGATGTTTTAGTACGTGATACTCAATCTCAATTTTAATTAAAAGCAAAGTTAGTTGAAAATTAAATAAATTATGTAATCATTTCTAAAATCCTCTATGTATTTTTATCTTCGGTAATATTCTGCTGGAAGCGCAGCCAACGCACTTGTGAATTAACAAGGCTGTCACAAATGAAATTACATTTCTAAAATAACATCAAAACCCTTTTCATTTTTTAGGGTGAACATAGGAGTAGTAAACAAACAATTTGTTATGTTTAAGCTTTTTTTGATTAAAAAAAAAAAAAATGGGGGAAAGTGTCTTGCCCGAGGACAGTCACCCACATGATTCCCAAATTTGTGTCCTGTTGGCACACAGTTGTGTGTTTGCAGTGTTTTTGAATTTGAAACATTGAGAGGTTTTCACCATGGCACAATGTAAATCTTTGTTTGTTAAAAAGAAAAAAAGAAAAACACCTTATCCTGCTTGGGTCCACCTTGGAGGATCAGCAGCTCCTTGACAATCATTGGCTGGTATACCTTTCCTAGAAGGCTTCTGAGGACCTCCTTACAAGTGTGACTCTCTACTGCCCTGAGCTCGTGCATCTGAGGTTTGCAAGGAAGACAAGAAACCTTGAATATGTCTTGACTACACGCATCAAAATCCTGTTACATTCTGCCGTTTTACCGTCCCCTCCTTTGAGCAGCTTCTCTCTGCATGGCGTGGCTGGTAGCCAAGCTGGATCAACGCCGCCAAGACATCCCCCAAATGCCGCGTGAACACCAATGTGGCGAGACACGAAAGCTCTGTCAACTGCATCAGAACTTTGGTGGTGGTGAAAAGACGACATCCAGCTGCTGGCACCGTCCCACCGCGGACTAGTTTGTCTACCATGACTCCAAACGCTGACCTGCGACCCAGTGATACCCCCACTCCGGTGGCCAAGTATGGGCAGAGGCCCAGACAAACCACAAATTGAAGAGACGCTGACAGGGTCTGCTGCTGGGCCACACTGAAGACATCAGGAGGCAACGGTGGCGCCATCTCAGCGGTGCGTAGCCTAGCCGCAGACAGACTGTCCGTCTGCTGGAAAAGTTTGAGTTCTGCGGATAGTTGTCGCGACAGGGTGAGGAGTAGAAGGAGACACTCCTGGACAAAAGCCCATGTGGCATCTTCTGTGTCACCACCGAACCAGTCTGCCGCAACCATCACCTCCTCCCTGAGTCTCCTCACCTCCTCCAAGCTGCTCTCCTTCTGAAGCTGCTCTTGGAGAAGGGCCCTGTTGGTCCGCAGCACTGCGACCAGAGCATCTTGGTGGGAGGACTGAGCATCATGTGCAGAGACCTCTGGAAACAACACAGAGCGTGAGTGGTTAAGGTTGTGCAGTTTTGTGCGTTGGTTTACCGGTGTTACGTGCCTACTGGTTTTTGAACCTACTGGTTTGTCTACGCGTGCGTGTTTGTTTTCCCCCTACGGCGGCAGATGTTGTCTGCCTCAGTCACCTGATTCGTCACACCTTCGCAAACATATTGCTGAAAATGTTCAAAAGTCATCACATATCCATTGCAGCGATTACGATCGTATAAGTGAGCACTACATCACTGCCACGTATGAAGAAATACATTGAAGAAAATAGATGTATTAAAAGATCGCCTCGACCTGGAGGCGTAGACAAACCAGTAGGCACGTAACACCGGCGTCACACTGTGTGTTCAGTGTAGCTGTGAGCTACGAAAGAAGAAGTGCAGAGACTAGGCTAAGCTCCTACAGTTGGTACGATTTATACTATACCGACAAAACTGACGTCATGCTATTCGTAACGTAATGCTCCCAATTTCACATCTTAAGTCGCAATGAAGTGCTTCATCACTACGACTCGTTATAAGACGTTAATCCACGCACAGAAATGAAGCTCCGCGTGCACGCGACTTGGTATAACGTTAAATAGCACGCTCTACTTTAATCACCATGCCTAACTTATCGTATCCTTCTTTACACTTCGGTACCTTGTCGGGCTGTCACATTAAGTTACTCACTTACCGCCAAGAGGATTCGTCAGAGTTTTTATCGCTGAGAGGATAGCTGGAACAATCGGAGCCATTCTCCCCCTACTTGAAGTACTTAAAGCCCTGTCATGCCAAGAATGTACCGTGGTGCTAGGAAACATGAACGTATGCTAACATCTCAAATGGCGCTGGAATTATACGTCATCGCGGATCGTTTCTCAGCGCATGAGGGTAAGGAGAATAACAGCACACGCATTCAGCAGTGTTAAGAGTCCTTTTATCAACTCTGGTTAAGACCATTTGTAACTGTCATAATTAAAACAGTATTTGGTTCGAAAGATAAGGAGCTAACGCTTACTTTAACACCGCTAAATCACCGGAATACATTGTATCAATAGTTTTACTGGATACCTCGATTAAAAAAAAACATCTTCTCTAATATGGGCATAGTAATATTACCATTCCTATAATGTAAGCGGGCCGGAGTTTGAGAACCCTGCTTTAGGAAGAAGAGTATCTTGATTATTTCGCAAACCATCTCGCTTTTTCTCTTGCTTCTCCCCCTGGACCAGTGGTTCCAAAATATTTTATGTCCAGTCCCTCTATGATGATACAGGAACAGATAGCAATAAAACTTTGTGCAAAAATACATTTAACAGCAGGATTCTTTTTTTTCTTCATCTAAATAAGTTCACATGAGCAAGGTACGGAGTCCAAGTGTCTGCTCTGTCTAGTGGGCTTCATAATAAGTTTATTCAGTCTGTTCCGGTCAGCGGTAGATATGCTGCGGTCCTCAGGAGTGCTCCCAGGCCTAATATCTATGGGCTGATCTAGGCGAACCAGTCAGCCCTAAATATAAATCTGAGTCAGATTAAATTACTATAAAACGAGTTTGATAACCGAAGGCTCTTGCTCCCAACCTTCTTTAAGGCTACACATTTGAGTGCAGCAATAATGAGCTCCTAAAGATATGGTGCCTGACTCGTGGGTGCCTTATAGGGGAGAAAGATTTTAAATTCCATGTTTTATTTAACAGGGAGGCAGTGCGGACAGATACAGAAGTAATATGACCCCTACACAGAACTCTGTTCAAACTAAGCTGTAGCTAATAGCTAGCAACAGATCACATGGGTCCTCCAAAACATTATGGTTGTTTTTAAAACAAGATTACATGTTCACTATGAAAGAGTTCATAAAGTATAAAATTCAAATTGTTAAAAGAAATTATTCTAAATACAAGTAATCTGCTAGAGTTCCATTTTATGATGAAATTTCGTTAAAGTAATGACCGTCAGAATTTAACTCTAATAAGATCATTGCAGCATTCAAATAAGGTCAAATATATAAAATTAATTTTATTAGATTCAGTTTTAACAGAACCAGCATTAAGTCATCTGGAACATAAAACCTGCAAAAACATGGGCAGAAGGAAGTCATTTGCATGTCATTTATCATAGGCATTTGATCACGTATGGTTAAATTCAGCTTACCACAGATAAGTCAGAAGGCCCTTTTAGTTGGAGTTTTGGCAGGAAGACTTTGCTTAGCACTTTTACTGATACGCACTAGCATGTGTTGGGGACTGTCCTGGGGTGTAGCGGCTTCGAGCAAATACTGTTCTTCCTCGTTGGTAGCTTGAATGAGAACTAAAAGAGTAGACTGGCTCCAGATCGGACACGTCGCTGAAGACTGGCTGAGGGATTTGATCGATGGCATCATAGCCAGCCGCCGGTTCAGAAGTCCAGCTGTCACCGATGAGAGTACTAGCCAAGCTACCATCTGGAGCACTACGATCATACCCATACACACCGACCTCAGGACTGTTGTAGAGTCCATCTCTAAAACTAGCGGAGCCCTCGTCAAACACGTCACCCACAGCAATGTTGGTGGTGCGGTAAACACCTGGAGAGCTTCTGAAACGTTTCTGGCCAGCATTGGATTTACCATCTTGAGCAGGATCTCGGGTCGCTTTGTGAGAACTTGGGTCGGGTACACTTGCTAGCAGGGAGCGGTGGTCTGGGTCAGAACTCCCCCCCATTCCACCGAACAAATTCCAAGAAGAACGTGGCTGCCGCAGTGAGCTTGTGTGAGCACTATTAGCACTATATTCTGGGTCAAAACAAAAATGTATTTTAGTAACCAGCCTTCATTCGAGGCTGTTTAGTAGTTTAATTAAGGAAAAACCAATAGCCATATGGTCCAGTGTGGTCTTACCTTTCTCCACAGGGAAACATCCGATGCCTCCAACTAGCAGATAGGAAATCCACAACACCCTACAAACATGACAATTTTTAATTCATGAATGAAAACGGTTTAAATGAGATTTTTCCATAATAACCTTACCTCATTCCAGCACAACTAGGTTGATAGATTGAATATCACGTTACGGTTATCTTTAAGGACTATAAGACTACCTTCAAAAGGATAAGAATGATATTCAATTTAAGTGAGATGCATCTAATATAACAAACATATCTTGTCATATAAGCAACCCCATGCCATACCTGCTCGCACCTGTGCCTATTTCAAAAGAAAACAGAGAAAGTATGATCACACAAGAGCTCTTTTTAATGTTCAATGCTGTTGGAGTTCATTACTCAGTGGAAACAGCTGGTGCTTGATGACAGCTGTTGCATGGTTGATTTACCTCCTTGTTGAAGAGCAAACACTGGACCAAAGTGGGCATCTTTCTTTGCTAATGGTGGAAAAGAACACTTGTAAATTGTTTTGCACAAAACCAGATACTACGAGCAATGGTCTCTTTGTATTCTGTATACATCTGTTTTGTGCTTGTTTTAAATGATAAGGCTGCCAATACACTAATAGTCGTATTGTAAACAAATCCTATGATTAGGCCCGTACCAATAATTAATTGATCCCACTGAAAGTACATGGTCAATAAATCCAAAGCCTAAGCTCCATTAAATCTTATATATGAACAAAACGGTTGCACTGGGGCACATGGTTCTTCGTGGCCACAAACACACACCATGTAGTTCATTTGGGCCATGTTGCCTCATGATATACAGTATATACACATAAGGTTTACAGTATGCCGTCAAATTCTCGTTGTCATGAGGAAGCACTTTGTGAATTAGTTGTCACAATTTGACAGACCAATGACAGAGAGAGGTGTTTTTTCTACGCTACTTCTGTTATTAATTATTCAACTTAATCTCAGATCACCAAGTTTATGTAAATTATGGAATTTTTAAAATTGGGTTTAGAACCTGTTTAAAAAAGCAATAGTAATGCCTGTTTGCTTTTTCTCAATAGTTCACGCCTATGGAGAAAAGTAGGAGACATGTAGAAGTGTTGGTATTTTACTTTAGCGTATGTCAATTGAGTCGATCATAAGATCCTGGCTTCGTTTAATAGATGTTTAGTGTTAATGTTAATAAAAAAAATATTTCTCAATTCGGGTGTAAAATCGTTAAATTGGGCATTTATTAAATAATACTTGCAAGTTCTACTGGGTAAAATAACTGACATGGTTGAATGTAGCCACAGTTGAGGTTCGCTGCTTACTATTCCATGACTGTTTGTTTTGGTTGGCCTCTCTGTCTCCATTGTCCCTCCATGGGATCACTGCCTATGTCTAATCTTATTTACCTGGGTCAGAAAAAACACACACACACACACACACACAAAAACAGGAGCTGATGATGTTATGCTTTGCTGTGATTGGTTAGTCATGACTGCCTCCTCTCCTTTCCGCTCCCTCTCTGCACCTCTGTCCCTTTCCCCCTGCTTTCTTCTCTCTCTTGAGCCTTGCACATCCCTTTACAATTAAACACTAGTCACATCCATTGCTTTCTCTCTCTCCCTTCCTCCAGTTTCTCTACCTCTCCCCCCATTCTACTCTTTTCCTGCCGGAAGATGATGACATTGAGGATGATGATGTGATACTGAACAACCAATGATCAGGCAAGAAGGGAGTGGAGGGGGTGTGTTCAGAGGCTGAGCTTGGATCTGATCACTGCTGATGAGAATGCCGAGGAAGAAGGGGAAGAGAGGGAGGTAGAGGTGGGTGGGGGAGGCCTTGTCCAAGGTGAAGAGCGCCAACGCTGGTTTAATAAAAGACGAGAAGAGGAGAAAGGGGAGCAGGAGGGAAATGGAAAGCTATCGCCTGTAAGAAGTGGATCAACCTGCGTTGTCATGGAAAAATTTCGACCAAAAAGACCAACCACCCTGGCTCTGTTCCCCCAGCTACCACAAGCTGGAACCCAGGTAGGGAGGCTGGGAGGTTCCCTTGATTTTTAACAAGCTGGAAAGATTGGTTACAGAGTGAATGAGCGTGTGTATGATTATTGGTTATCTTGTGCATAGAACAAGGCAATAATTGGTTACTGTGTGTGTGTGTGTGTGTGTGTGTGTGTGTGTGTGTGTGTGTGTGTGTGTGTGTGTGTGCGTATGGGTGCGTGCGCATTCCCTGGGAGGAGACAGTTTGTGTTTGCTGTTGGGTGTGTGTGTGAGTGTTTAGGTGTCTGCTGGCAGTGGATCAGATCTTAAAATGGTTTAGCTGTAGCTGAACGTTGGTTGGCTTCATTAAAGTTCCTCTAATGTGTTTTGGTGGTAATATTGTCAGCAAATACCTATAAAATATTTGGAATATTTAAATCTATACCATGAAGTATTACAGCGGACACACGTAGATGTGCGGCTAGGGGTTCAGTGACTTGCTTAAAAACATTGCTTTTGTTGGGACTGACCCTGGTTAATCAAAAGAATTCAATCTGCTCTGCCATCTTGTGAAATACTGTAAAAAAAAAAAAAAATATCTAAGATGTGTCATTTGTAGCAGTATCTCATAGTAAGAAAGAAAGAGAATCAAAGAAGAGGATAGTGCAAAGAACATTACATTGAAAACATGTCTGGACTCTAGATGATAGTGAATGAGATAAAGCCCTGGCTCCTCAGGCAGTGTGCAGTAATGAGGGGTCTCTGGAGGGAGCCAGCAGTAGTGACGAGCACTCACTCAGCAGTTTTAAAAGAGTGCATCCCTTTGGTTTAGTTGCATCAGGTTTACTTAATGTCAGATCAGAGCATGTAATTTGGACATAACCTGGTTTGCTTTTAATATCAACATACAAATTATTTATTATAGACAGTTTCCTTATTTTGTTTCATGAATGAAATTGCTTTGGGTGCAGATTCAGTACTCAGGATGTCCCTCAAGACATCAGACAAGGATGAGGCAAAAGACTTCTAGAATATTAGGCTAAAATCCTAAAACGAGAGAATGAGGTGAGGATGATTAAGCAAAGTTAAATACAAAAATAGTTGGTAGCCAATCCCAGGGAACATATGAAACGATAGGATTGGCAAGTCACACAAAAAAACAAGAAGTAATTGAATATCCTCAATGAACACAAATGTCGGTCAAAGTTTTCCATGGTTCAATTCAATTCAATTCATTTTATTTTGTATAGCCCAATATCGCAAGTTACAAATTTGCCTCAGAGGGCTTTACAGTCTGTACACATACGACATCCTCTGTCCCGAAGCCCACACATCGGCTCAGGAAAAACTCCCCAAAAAATGGATTACAATGGATGCCATGTGTACAGAATGAACAATGTATAATACATGCAATTCCTATGACAGAAATGATTCAAGTAATTGTGAGTAGTAAGTCAGGCGCACAGCAGGACCACTGCAGGGGCAACCACCATCAGATAGAACCCCCATCCACAGAAGCATGTGGGGAGGGAGAGCACAAAGACTTTAGGAGAGGGTAATGTTGGTTTATGATTACAGTAATATGATTAATATTTAAAATAATAATGATGATGGCAGCAGCAGGTGTCAGCAGGGCCACGGCAGGTGTCATGAACAGGGTCCAGAAGGAACTACGATCTATGGAGACCTGCTAGGGGAAAAAGCACAAAAAAACTTCCGGAAAGAAGCTGAATTAGTCATGTGCATTAATAAAACGTGGATTATTGAAGAAAGAGAGCGTGAAAGAGGAGCTTGGTGTGTCTTAAGAAGTCCCCCGGCAGGCTAAGCCTATAGCAGTTTAACTAAGGGCTGGTCTGGGCTAACCTGAGCCAGCCCTAACTATAAGCAAAATCAAAGAGGAAAGTTTTAAGCTTTACTTTAAAAGAGCTGACCGAATCTGCCCCCCGGACTGGAAGTGGAAGCTGGTTCCACAAAAGAGGAGCTTGATAACTGAAGGCTCTGGCTCCCATCCTTTTTAAAACCCTAGGAAAAACAAGTAACCCAGCATCTATCGAGCGCAGCTACCTTGTAGGGCAATACGGTGTTACAAGCTCTTTAAGATAAGACGGTGCCTCACCAGCAAGTGCCTTGTAGGTGAGGAGAAGTACCTTAAATTCTTGATTTAACAGGGAGCCTGTAAGTGGATCTATTTTATTCACCTTATTTATGCTTCATTTAGGCAATACTATCAGATAACACTCCATAAACTCTTCTTTGTTGTGCACATAATAATCAATTGTATCAATCAATCAAGCCGACATAATCAAACAGATGGCCAAACTAAAAACCAAACCAAACCAAACAACAAAGCATGTGCTGGATTCAACTTTGCTTAAGTTCACGTCATTCTTTCGGGATGCTGAGATCAGATAAGGCATATCTACGTCAGAGCACAAATCAGGTCCAGGCGCGTGAAAATCAACCATTCGCGAGTAAAAGTTGGTCTCGAGCAAGCAAAAGTCAGTCTCGAGCAAGCAAAAGTCGGTGTCTTTGCTCGCTCGCAAAACTTGAACCTGTGTTTTCTTTTCACTGTTTTTTCTTTTTGACAGACAATACTAACCTGATCTTTGGATTGGCTAGTTATGCATTCCAAGAACTTTAAAACGCCATTTCCACACACAAATGTTCAGCTCGTCTTTCTGACTGTCACGGTGTTGGTTATTTCCTGTTTTATTTTGTAGTTTCTGCTTCGTGTCTCCCTGGGTAACTTCACTTCCTGCCTGGACGGCTGACCATAAATATATATGTCAGCACAAAGTTATTTGGCCATTCATATATTGTAATAAATACATTTTAGCACTGTTAATTGTACTAGAAATTGTAGTGTACAGAAATGCACCTTAATATGGAAATCATTCAATATTGTGATTTTGACATGAATTACCTTTAAAAAATGTTGTTTATGTTAAATATACGGACCAGCGTGCACTGTAAAAGAAATATGTTGAAAATACAGTGAAAAATGACAGCGTCAACATATTAGACATTATGGGATGTTTTTTTAACTGTAAATTTCACAGTTCAGAATCGTTATTTGTTTACGGTTTACGGTAACTTTAAAAACATTATACGGTAAAATACCGGCAGCTGTGGATGCCAAAACGTGACCGTAAAAACAACAACGTCCACGTATAAGACATGTTTTTTGGCAGTTGTAAATTTCACAGTTCAAAACATTGTTTACGGCAAATTACTTTTACTATACTTTTAAAAATAATAGTCCTTTACTTTAGCACTGTCGCCTCATAGCACCAAGATCCTGTGTTGGATTCCACTCCATGCTTGCGTCAGTTCTTCCCACGGTCCAAAAACATTCTCGTGTTGTGACTTTCAATGGTTTGTGTCAATGAAAAATGAAAACCTTTCTCAACTGTGAAATTTACAGTGGCCAAAACATCATACCGCAATGTCTTATCTGTAAGTTCTCACTGCAGTATTTTACCGTATTTTCAGCAGATGTTTTTAACGCAAATTACCATCAACAAGTTTTTAATATTTTTTAATAGTCATTTGCCACAAACAAAAACAGTTTGGAACTGTGAAAATGTACAACTGCCAAAAACGTGTCTTACATGTCATACGTGGGCGTTGTCGTTTTTATGGTCATGTTTTGGCATCCACAGCTAAAGTAAAAAACATCCCGTAATGTCTAATACGTTGACGCTGTCATTTTTACGGTGGAGTTCTGGCAACCACAGCTGCCAGTATTTCACTGTATTTATACAGTGTATAACAGATTCTTTTTTACAGTGTAGATGTATGGAAGCACTGCTCTGTCTGAGTCTGACTGGCTGATTAGGTCTGTAAAGTTATAAAAACAGATTCACCTCCTTTTTGGTAATTGGCCATGAGCAGGCTTCGATCACTGTCGGCACCCAGTGGTACCTTTGATACCGTATCTCCCGCTGTCAAACCACAGACGGGTTGGCTGAGTCCAGCCTTTCTCAGTGACTTAAGCACATCGGCTCCCTGCCGCATTTGCTCCACGCAGCTGTTGCTGTGATTGATGACATCCTCCAGGTACATAGGATGTACTCTTGGTACTGTCGGAGACGTTGGAATGTGGCTGGGGCATCAAACAGCTTGAAAAGAAGCGTGACAAATTGGTACAACCCTTAGTATAAGACAATTTAGCCTTCTTCATCAACTTCATTTGTATTTAAACCCCAGTATTTTGAGTTGCCACTCTGATGGGGCTTTAGGGGAATATTACAAACAACACCACCTGGGGAATTACACCCCAGGAAATACAAGTTTGATTTTAATAGCACCCAAGGCATGCAGTTATGTCACTGTGGATAAGGCAGACCATGTTGGTAGTTATTAACAAAACAATGTTTTATTAAATCTATAAAATAATGTTTAAGATAAGAAAAACAAACCCAACATACTGAAAGATTGCAAAACAGCAGCAGTAGTCTCTTTTTGTCTGAATTTACTTATCCTGAATAGTAGTAGGTAGCTGTGATGTATTGGGTTACCTGTGGTTATCTATGGGTGTCTAAAGAGAGGGATATACGCCTGTTGCTTGTTTTTTAATTTTATTTTATGGACAGAAATAACCAGTCTTTCTCATTTGGGACTCTCCCTCAGCATTCCTCATTCAACCTTCTCTGGAACCCTGCAAAATCACCACTTCACCGCTTGTTTTAAAGGGCTAGAAACATTTAACCCCACATGATGTAATAAGGCCAATAACACCTCTTCGCATCACTGTTCCCTGAGCCAAACCACTGCACGCCACCACAAAAGCATTCCATAATACTTAAATTATTCATTCTTGCAAGAAAAGGAACTCCATGGAGAAGAGACCTAATGTGTTTCACCCGGCAGACTGGTCCCTGTAAAGTGGTCACACAAAAGGCCGGCTGATTTCCGACAACACACTGGGCATATACTCTCCTGAAGTTCTCCTTCTTTTCATACGTCATCTCAGGGAGTGGCTGTGTCCTTGCGTAAACCACACCCCTAATGGACTTCCCATTTTCTGCCCCTCACTATCTTTTCCACTATTGCCCAACACATGTAATGCCCCTCCCTTTGGTCTTCAGCTAAGGCATACAGAAAGACAGTATAAAGTTGTGCAAAATGTTTGCATTTATGAATTACTACTTTCTTTACAGGATATCCACATAATTGCCCAAAAAACATTTAATTGTGTATGTATGTATTTGTCGGTGTGTGTGTTTGTGTGTGTGATAACCCAATTGTCTGTTGGTTTTTGCTCTTACATTCCTGTTCTGTTTCACCAACTCTATCCAGGACTCCATTAACAACAACTCTTTAGGCAAGAATGACCGCTGGAAGGACTCCTGTTCCCCCTCCCCACATATTACAGGTATGGACACTAAATGACAAATAAAAGGAAAAATGTCATGATGGATTCCATTGGCTTCAAATAAAGTTAAACTCATGCAGAATCAGATATTCTCAATGAACTGACAAGCTCTGTTGCAATTAATCATTTGCCCGTAAACGAAATACTGATTTAAGTGTGTCAGATCTTCGTCTTCGTGAGTGTTACTGCATCGTGAACAAAATAATTTCCGTCCACATAAGCACAAGTGCAAACAAACATCAAATGGCTATTCATACACAGGGCATCTTGGTTCTGGTGGAAACAGGAAGTAGATTGGTTGGTTGGTAGGTTGGTTGGAATATAATTGTCTTGCTTCATCTTCTGTGTTCCTAAATTATCCTCTACAAACTCAAGACAGTTTACGTGGGGGGGAGACACCTTCATTTTCCGACGGGCTCTCTGTCCGCTGGTGAGATATTGAAATGTTGTAATGGCCCTTCGCAGCCCATAGCTAGCGGGAGATGCGTTGGTGCGTTGCCGAAGATGTGGACCTTCGTTCAATATTTCACAGTTTCTTTAGTGATATCATTCTTGTTGTATCATAAAAAGCAAAGGAAGTTGCGGTGGTCTTCATTCACCAAGAAACAATGAAACATCTACTGGATGTCCCCAATAACTGCAACCCTCTCCTTCCAAAAGCCTAACATGACACTGAGGAGGAAGTGATATCAGAACCAGTGAGCACTAGTGAGACGCCAAGTACTGGGCGCTAGACTCAATGCCCACCCTGGTCTGATTAGTTTTTCATGAGTAATAGACTCAAAACATTGGGAGATACCAGCCCGAGCATGGCAGGCAAGTAAGAAAATTTCAAGATGGGGCTGCAGATGGCTGCCTTGGTGCATTGGTTTTGTACACGCCTCTCTCTATTCTGGAGAGGAACGTCAATAGGATTGTAACGTGTGGGTCTGTGGGGGTCCCGGAATAATGAGGATGCGGCTGAGGGTTTCAGTGTACAGTCTTTAGTAGTAGTAGTAGTAGTTTAGTATTTTATCATTTTTACAATGCACGACCGGCTCCAGCCTCCTCGCCTCCCTCCTCGCTGTCGCCGGATCTCTCCTACTTAAAGGAGGAACACAAACACTGATTAATCTCAGCTGAGGCTGATTATGCCTCCCCCGGCACCGTTCCCCGAACCACTCCCTTCTACGTCCCCTCTGCAGCCGAGCCCAACCACGCCCGTCACCACAAGGATATTTAAATTGCAGAACTCCTCGAAAGCAGCCGGTGCAGACTCTGTCTCCCCCTTCGCCCTGAAGCATTGTGCTGATCAGCTGTCTCTGGTGTACACCAACATCTTTAACACTCTACTGGACATGCCATGTCCCCAAAACGCCTAGGATAGCAGGACTTAATGGCCCATCGCCCTGACCTCAGTGGTCATGAAGTGCTTTGAGCGCCTTGTCCTGTCCCAACCCAAAACCTTTACCGACCCCCTCTTGGACCCCTTGCAGTTCGCCTACAGAGCCAACAGGTCTGTAGATGATGCAGTCAACATGGCCCTCCATTTTATTCTGCAGGATGACTCCCCAGGAACCTACTTTGGCTTGTTTTTATCTACTTATTAAGGAGTTGAGATAATTATTTTCGCTAGCAAGATCTCATTTGATGATGCATTCTATTAAGCCCATTGCCAGAAGGCACATTAAAAAAAAACATAATCTGATTAATTGAAGTGATTGAGGCACTTAAAATTTAGCCTATTCAAACAGCCTTGATTTTACAGTACCCGTCAAAAGTTTAGACATACTTTTGACGGGTAGCGATCGATCTATCCATCCTTGACAATGAAAGCAATAAATACTCAAATATTTGAAATATATTGTGTGCTTTTTTCAGTTCATGTCATTCTAATCCATCAACTGCCTACTGAATGCAATTTTGATAATCCATCTGTGTACAACTGTTTGTGTAATACGTAATATGATACCTTTTGTTTTTTCTGTGTGTGTCTTAAGGGGATCTAACACCCCCAGTCCAACCAAAAGCAGAGGACAAAGTCCAACAAAAAACGCGCCGCCTGGCACCAAAACCACCCCCAGCCAACGGAGTGAACAGCAAAACTAGCTCTCAGGTTGCTGCTGTAGAGACGCAAGCTCGACTGAGAGAAAGACAAGTGTCAGGGTTCACACAGACACAGCCCTACACCACAGCAAGGAGTCAAATGAAAGGAATAAGAGGAGCCCTAGCAATGAGAGAGAGGAGCCTGGGCGACACCAGAGGTCACAATGGAGGGACAACCGGGAAGGAAGATAGAAGAGGTGGAAGGCTGTGTGATCAGTCCAGGGGGAAGGAGAAAGAGAGAAATGGACATCAGAGGCCAAGAGAAACAAATGGACTGAAAAGCTGGGGGGCTCATGGGAAAGGAAAAGTAGGTTCTAAAGGAGTTAACAAAGCAGGGGTAGTGAAGCCCAATAACATACTGTCCAACCAAAAAGTATATCTTACAGCCATGGTGGTCCCACGCACGCCTCTAGCACCACGAACCGAGGACAAGACCCATAACCAAGGTAAGGAACCCATCTTTAGCACAGGGTGGTAGGTAACTTTTATACTTGGTGATAAAAACCCTTGTTGTTGAATGGCTTCCATCTACTAAATAAAACTAGTACTAGTTTGCTCTTTTCAATATCTGTATCACGCCACACCATCACGTTCTAAGGAAAGGTATATCTAATCTATGTAATCATATCTCTGGTTCATGAATCATTTTGATTCCCATTTTGTTTGCAGGCAGTTTACAAGTAACTCTATACATTTAAGCACTCTGTTGTAGCTAACATATTGTGTGCTTTAAGGCCAAAACCATGAAAGGATCCAAGACAACCCCTCAATCCTCTCCCTGTCCAGCAGCGAGGGGGGGCTAAACAGAATGTCCCTCAGCTCAGATACAGAGGGACCCCCACCAGGGCCTCCACATCCTTCTCAAGTCCACCGAATCGACACAGACATCAGCGAAGAAGAGGGAGAAGGAGATCCAACTCCGTGCTTGAACATCCAGATTGGTCCAACCCCTTGCCTTACAGATAATGAAAAAGCTGAGGTGGACTGTACAAAGTCAGAGGTGGAGGCAAGGGGAGGAAAAGGTGACTATAACAATAAGGTGGGTGGCACCACCTTTGTCACTCAGGGAGATGGTGCGGCTGCTCAGGTTGCACCAAAGAGGGAAGATATGGCACAGTTAAACTATGACTCTGTTAAATACACTCTGGTGGTCGATGAACACGCTCAGTTAGAGCTGGTCAGCCTCAAGGACTGCTTGCACAGTTACAATGATGACAGTGATGCAGAGACGGTCTATCAGTCAGCCAATGAGGAGGAAGATCCAGAGTATGAGGAGGAAAGGAAGAGGAGAGAGAAAGCAAGAAAGCAAGGTACAGATTTTTTTTTAACATGGCTGACCTCTTTTCAGTCCCAGTTAACAGTTAATTAAAGTTTATGAAATGTAAGTGTCTATCCCTTTGGAAGCATTGTGTTTGAATATAAAAATTGGAACGAGTAACCAACTTTGTGACTAACAGAATGTAAAAAAAGAATCACTTTTTTAGGTTGTATGGACAAAGTAGTAGCTCAAAAAATAAAAAAAAAAGCTGTTCTTTAACTTTTCCAATAGGAAACAATCCACTTTAAGAGTAGAGGGCCCAATACTTAGCGTGTGGAGCACCACAATAGATTCAAAAGCAAACCCTCACTATCATTTTGCATGCTTTTTGCTGCTAATCTTTTCCTTATTTTTTGGCTCTAAGACAGAAGGAAAGAGGAGGAAAACAGACGAAAGGTGGAGGATGAGACAAAGATGAGGAGAGAAGAGGATGTCAAGAGGAGGAGGAGGGAGGAAGAGGTGAAGAGGAGGAGGGACGTTGTGGGAAGGATCTGCAAGCAGTCCAAGGTAACATCAACCACAACTTCAGAGGAGGAAGAACCTGATGGAGGAAGACCAGGAGCTTCAAGAAGTAAGAAGTTCCACAACCTGTTTTCCAACAACAGCAGTCATTACAGCACCACAGGTTTGTATATTCTTTGTATATTTTTGATTTAAATAAAAAAAAAAATTGGGCTCCTTTGAGGTTAGGTGCAAAAAATCATGTCATTCTCACAGGCAATTAAGTATAACATAATACTATATATATATGGAAGCAATGACAAAAAATTGTTAAAGAAATATTTAAAATATAATGCAATGTTTTACATTAGAACCACAAAAGAAAGGAACAATACCAGTCCATATGGGCCTGATTGTAGGAAATAACTCCTAAACTCACCAACACTAAATCTAAAAACCAGAACACTGGCATTTTATCACTGTTTCAAAAGAAAATCCACTTCATTAAAAACGGTTAATGGTCAGTTTCTGCCCCTTGAGACTAGAATGCAATTGTGACATTTTCAAAAATTAATGGCATCAGCAGCTCTTTAAAGGTCTGCATTTACAGAAAATAAAACACGCGGCGTGACGTGGATGCTAGGTGTAGGCATTTCCAAAGTGTCAATGTGTGTTAAAACAAGAATTGTTGGAATGTGAATATTATCTGACTAATTTCACAAAACATACTTTTATTCACGTTTGTGAATTATAATGTGTTGGTTATTTGTGCCTTTGACTTGTGTGCATTGCTGATTAAATCCCACTGTGCTGTAGCAGCTCCCCATATCTTTTTTCATTCTACCACCAGCAGTATTCAGGGTCAACGATTTCCATTTCTGATAGTGGTGGCCATTTGAACTTTCAGATTCTGTGTCATAATTGGATCACGTTTTCATTAAAATATCATATTCTCAAATGAGTGACATCATTGCTTTATTATTCAGGTGCTGGGTCATTTGGTGTGTTCTCCTGTGTTTTGGATGGAGTGGAGAGACAACAGAGCCACAGAGCTGTCTACAGGTCAAAACATATGAACATGCACAAACTCATAGGGACATGTCCAAATAAACCCATAAGGCCAAAATCTATGTCTTTTAGGTTTGTCCCCCGTCATGCAGACGAGCTGTATCTAGAAACAGATGACCCAGTGTTAATGCTGAACCAGTCGGAGGACCTTTGGTGTCAAGGTTACAACATGAGGACCGGAGATACTGGCATCTTCCCTGCCTTCTATGCTGTGAGGGTGGCTAAAGATACTAACCAAGGTACATTGCAAAAAACAGCAATGAACAAGAAAAAATACTACCACCATAAACAACATCTCATGATTAAAGCTTCTTTTTCACTTTTGCTCTTGCAGTCCAGAAAGATGGCTGGACAGATCAGTTCCTGGGGCAATTCCTGGGTTCAGTTCAGGTCCCAATCCACAAAGGCAATGACATGCTTTGTGCTGCAATGCAGAAGGTACATACAGACACTGCTCAACAGAACCTAACCATGCATTCTGATCGGCAGTGTTCAAGTGCTGAACTGTGGGGTCAACTTCTAGGTTGAGCATGTTGCAAAACATGCTCAACTTTCCTTGCAAATCCGAAGTATTTTCCAAGTAAGCGTCGGATGACAAAGAAAACATTTTGAAAAAGTGAATGCTAAATCCTGACATTACTTGTTGTTGTTTACCATCCAAATACCTAGGAAGAGAAAAAATAAGTAATTTATATATCTCCAACAAAATCAGGCTGTGTCAAGAGTGACAACCCCTGTATCTGGAGGTCAAGTTGGACAGGTCGTTAAACAGCAGACGTTTGTATGGTAGACTGCTGTTCTTGTCTTGTTATATCTCTACCCCATTTGTATGCAGATTTTGGATAAGAACTGCCATCTCTTTCTTTTTGTGTTCATTCTTAGCAATTGCAGCACCCAAACAAGGAGGTGCAAATAGATATGCAATAATAAGTATGTAACTTAGAGATTGGACAAGTGCTGCTAGGTGACAGACCCGGTCACACATCACAGTCACTAGCTAGCTAACTAAGCTAATGGAGCTACAATATTAAACTGAATAAGAAGTTGCAAATAATTCACAGAATTTTCTCCACCAACATAATGTTAACATGTCAAAACGAATAATTCACGGTTCAAGAATATGTCATGTCTTACAACATGTGGGGGGGAGGGGTACATTAATCATGATTCACTTACACTAGAAGTGGCGCGCCTGATTTGCTACAGATAGGTCTATGTTGGAAAAACGCATTGTTCCGCAAATAAATACAGTGCGATCCGCAAATATAAATCGTGATTCATTTATGTGTGCATTGAAATGTATTTGTAAATCCTTCTGTGTGCATTCATGAATCAAATACAGTTGTGAATTGTTCCGTGTGCATTTGTCAATCTAGCGGTTTGCATTTGTCAGTCGTTCTGTGTTCATTTGCAATTATTGAGACTGACCTCATACATACTGACCCTGGTGAGCCTTGAGCAAACTGTAAGCAGGAAGGGCGATGAACACGCAGGAAGTCACTCAAACGCTTTTCTCTGGTTAAGAGCAATGCTGTTTTAACTGAAATAACCTTCATCTCCACCACCACCATAGGCCTAAACGGGTGTTGAGACAGGGCCTCCAAAACCACCAATAGATTCCACAGAGGAACCAGGGGCCTGGAAACGCCGAGCTTACGGCGAGCACCTTTCATGAAACAACATACTAAAAGATGCTACCCCACCAGCTTCTCACAAAAGCCCAAATTACAAGCTGAAATAGCCGATAAATATACTTTAATAGTAGAAAAGGCTTTGCCCTCGTCTACTAAATCTTGCAGGAAACACAGTAGGTCAACTACTGAACACTGGAGAGGAACGATGTGCCTCAGACGGCACTATCCCTCACAAAGCAGCCATTTACCACTGTACAGAGAGCAAGTTGCACTCTGAATGCATGGTGTCAATGACACGTTCAGGCAGGCTTGTTGCGTTCAGGTTCCACCTCACAGGCCAAGCCCAGAGCCCTATTCGGTCGGGGTGAGGGTGGAAGATCTCCCCACCACCCTGGGACAGAAGATCCCTGCGTATGGGGAGAAGCCCACGGCTCGTCTGTCAAGAGCTGTATTATTTCTGCCACCTGGTGCTTGGATCAAGATTAGCGTCAAGCCCTGTTCTCGCACTCTGTCTACAGTCGGGGAAATCAGGCTGAGAAGGGGGGAATGCCACGAGGCCACAAGTGGGCCAGCACATCCATCCCCAGTGGTGCTTTAATAAAAACAGTGGACATTGAGGCAAAGGGATCCGCAATGCCACAACCCAGCGCTGAAAATTCTTCATCCGTAGAAGCCCCAAATGTACCACAGATATTACTGACGCCATCAAGCAGAGCAAGCAAAGGCATAGTCTGAACAACACCGCTCTTCCCAGCCGGAAGAGGGTAAAGCACTGCGTGAGGGACGCTTTTCTCGCCTCTGTCAACGTGACGCGATAAGAGGAGGAGTTTATGTTAAGACCCAAGTAATCTGTACATTGCACCGGTTCAACTCGACATTTTGTCCAGTTTACATTGAACCCCAAATCCGTGAGATAGAGTCTGAAGAGGTGTGTCTTTAGTTTGCGGCGGAAGATGTGAAGGCTCTCTGCGGTCCTGGTGTCTTCAGAGAGCTCGTTCCACAAGGACAGCAAAGAGTCGTGATCTAGTCGAGTGTTTTGCTCTCAGTGAGGGAGGGACGAGCAGTTTTGCAGATGCAGATCGGAGAGTGCGGGTCGGGATGTAGGGTTTGACCATGTCCTGGATGTAAGCTGGACCTGATCCATTCACAGCATGGTACGTGAGCACCAATGTTTTGAACTGGATGCGGGCAGCCACCGGTAGCCAGTGAAGAGAGCGGAGCAGTGGAGTAGTGTGGGAGAATTTCGGAAGGTTAAAGACCAGTCAAGCGATCTACAGGATCGTATTGTCGCAGTGATGTTGGGAGTCAGGGAAAGTTGGCTGTCGAGTGTGATGCCGAGGTTCCTAGCGGTCAAAGTGGGCGTTAGCACGGAGTTGCCAAAGTTGACAGTCATGTCCTGGGTCGGAGAATCTTTTCCCGGAAAGAGAAGTAGTTCAGTCTTGTCGGGGTTGATTTTCAGATAAGACATCCACTGAGAGATGTCAGTTAGACAGGCAGAGATCCGTGCCGCCACCTTGGTGTCCAAGTGAGGGAAGGAGAGAATTAGTTGGGTGTCATCGGCATAGCTGTGGTAGCAGAAGTCATGCGAGCGAATGACAGCGTCGAGAGAGTTGGTGTAGAGCAAGAAGAGGAGGGGACCCAGGACGGAACCCTGAGGAACTCCAGTAGTAAGAGGATAAGGTTCCGACACAGATCCTCGCCAGGTTACCGCGCCGGTGGGTGCGGCCGTCGAGGTAGGACGAGAGAAGGGAGAGAGCAGAGCCTGAGACACCAAGTTCCTGAAGGGAGGAAATAAGGATCTGGTGGTTGACTGTGTCAAATGCAGCGGAGAGGTCCAGAAGGATGAGGACAGAGGAGAGAGAGGCGGCTCTAGCAGTGTGGATGTCAGATGATCGTCTATGTACGAGAAAATCCTGATGCCGCTGTTCCATAACGGAGACAGAGCGGCTTCCACACACCTGCTGAACACCCTTGAGGCTAATGAGAGCCCAGATGGGACGGCTTGGTACTCATAGGTTTTGCAAACATGAGAAACTTCTGGTGTGCTGGATAAATGGCGATATGAAAATATGCTACAAATTCGTTACAAACCAATACCCCGGACGAATTGAACAACAGAGCCGCAGGTGCCTGTTTAACACACGTGATCTAAAATGGGGCGGAGGGATGCACCCCCCCTTTTTGGGATAAGGAAGTAGCGGGAGTAAAAACGCCGCTGAGCTTCCTCACTCTGGACAGCTCTGATCTTTTGTTCATCAGCAATGTTATTTCGTTCTCTAGAACTCAAGCTGGCTACTGAAACTAACACACCATTGCAAATTGTAGTCTGTACCCCTGAGAAATAGTAGATAAACCCATGGATGCAATGCGCATGCGCGCCACTGTTCTTCAGGAAGAGGGAGCAGGACCAAACAGACCCTTGACTGGGTCAGAAGCTGCATCCATTACCTCTGCCACTGAGGCCCAAGAGATTTAGCCACAGGGCCCTCTCACCTGAGACAGCAAGGCCCATTAATTACACGGACGCAGCCCTGTATTGCAGGATGAGATCGTTGACTACACAAATCTCATCCCACAGGGCTGGGTTAGGTGACCCAGAGTCTAGCTGCCTGCCCATCTCCTCCAGGGTTTCCCCCATTGTATGCGGACAGCAGAGTCGTCGTGTTCAGCGAACACACTGACTGTGTTGCATAGCGATACATTCTCTGCAAAATGGAGGCGGTGAGGCGCTCTATTATTAGGCAGGGCGATGTTCGAGGAAGCTGAGAGAGCGGCGGTTTGGGTGGAGGTGGTGAGCCACTGATAGCTCCAACTTTGGTGGTCCCGCCAGACCCAGCTCCCCCATCCCTTCGACTTACTACTACTACTACTCAAAACTACTCAAGTTATGAGTAGCCCTTGCTGGGGGAGCCTACTCTTAAACGGACTGGACCAGTACCTGCCCATTTCCCAATTTAGACGCGGCCCGTTTGCGGACAAGTTTCTGTCCAGTGGGGGGACAACACCAGATGCACTAGGGGGTCTGGGCGGCTCAACAGGAAATGTGGAGTCATCCTCCCCAGATAGCAAAAGTACTCCGCTCCGGCTCCGCCGTGTAGGCATCATAAGCTCCGTATGTCAAATAACTTGAAAACGGAGGCAGGCTGTAAAATGTGATTAAACAAAAACGAGCTTGTTGAAGACAAGCTTACACAAAGTACTTAGTCAAGGTTAGGGTTAGCTTTACCTATGCATAGCATGTAGCTAAGGTGACTCACAACACAATAAGATCTGCATGCGACTACCATCTCCCTTTAGCACAGCACCATGCCCACAAGAAAGAAGACACACTACATCTAATAAACATGGGCAAACCCGCTCCTCCAGTGTTTAAAAGCGGAGAGAAACGATACATTACACAAACAAACCAAACACTTCATAGAACAATGTAAAAGTAATTATTTATCTCTCGGCCACCATCCCCTCTAAATCCTCAATTTTTCGCAATGACCTAAAAAGAATACACTATGTGTTGAAAATCCCACTTAAAATCATGCTTTTGCCGTGTTTTGCGCCCATGCAGGCTATGCACATAGGATTCAATTCAATTCAATTAATTTTATTTTGTATTGCCCAAAATCGCAAATTTGGCTTTACAGTCTGTACAGATGCGACATCCTCTGTCATTGGCGGACTATACGGACGCGCGGATGGCCTCCGATTCATGGAGGGAGATCTCCGCAAACGTCGGTTTGCCGGTCGAGGGGTTTCCAAAGTTGTGGAGGAAAATACGGGAAAATATGTCCACGATGAAAAGCAACAGTA